TAAAGCCCCATGGTCAGATAGGCAGTGGCATGTATGTCTAGAGGTCAGAGTGAGGTATGGACGAGAGATGTACACTTGAGGGTTATCAGTATAGAGATGTTATTTAAAACCACGAGACTAGATGAGATCACCCATGAAATGAGCACAGGGGCACAAACTAATCATGCAGGAAAGGGGAGAGATGATGGGACAAAGACATTGGGTGGAGGCACTGGCTTTGAAAAGGAGTGTGAACAACCCAGTAGACACAAAGCAGAACACACACACACACACACAGATAGTAGTGAGTCGATGCTGTGGTGGGAGTCGATGAAAGTTCTCCAGTTGTTTCCATTTTCTTTTTTCTTAATTCTCACCCAAGGATATTTTTCCATTGACTTTCAGATAGAGTTGGAAGGAGGGAGGGAGGGAGAGGGAGAGAGAGAGAAACATCAATGTGAGAGAGACACATTGACTAGTTGCCTCCTGCATGACCCCAACCAGGGCTGGGGATTGAACTGCAACTGAGGTCTGTGCCCTTGACCGGAATCGAACTCGTGAACTTTTGGTCTGCAGGCCAATGCTCTAACCACTGAGCAAAACTGGCCAGGGCAATTCTTAGGTAAGTAGAAAGCAAGTCATCTGTTGACGGAAATCATCATGGCCCGAAGAAAGCCCGTATGATGGTCAAGTAGTTTAAGTGCTTTCTTCAGCTTCTGACCATGAACATCAGGGGGGCCAGCCGCCTTTACAGTGTCCCCACCTACACTCAGCCACGTGGGTGCCAGCGCAGGGCAGGAAGACTTAGCCGAGGAGGTAGTTTTGGCCGATGAGTACAATAGCGAGTGAGAGGCAAAACAGTGGAAGGTGTTTGCGCCTGATCATGATTGGTCATGGGGTACAATTAAGTTGGGTGAGGAAGGAGAGAGGACATTCGATGCTGAGGGAGGCGGTAGTACCCGTTACTGTTGGCCACGGGGACCCTGAATCGATGGAGGCGGTAGTACCCGTTACTGTTGGCCACGGGGACTCTGCATCGATGGAGGCGGTAGTACCCGTTACTGTTGGCCACGGGGACCCTGAATCGATGGAGGCGGTAGTACCCGTTATTGTTGGTCAGGGCGACTCTGAATCGATTGAGGCGGCAGTACCCGTTACTGTTGGTCTGGGGGACCCTGAATCGATGGAGGCGGTAGTACCCGTTACTGTTGGTCTGGGGGACCCTGCATTGATGGAGGTGGTAGTACCCGTTACTGTTGGCCACGGGGACCCTGCATCGATGTGGGTGACAGCAGAGGGAGTGGGCTGGGGACAACAGGTCAGAGCGCTGCATGATGTTCACTCCGTGGACCGGTGGGCAGATGCTGACGGGAAGGAAAGGTGTACTTGTCGGACTTCCAGTCTGCTGGAGCTTTTGTGTCATTGGTTCTCAATCTTTAGCACTAATCAGAATTACCATTAAAAGCTAATTAAAACAGACTGTCAGGTCCCACCCGGAGTTCTGGGTAGAGCCTGAGACACTTCATTTCTAAGCTTCCTAGTGCCGCTGCGACAGTCCAGGGACCGAACTTCGAAATGCACTGATGCATGTGTGTGTTGAAATGCAAGGAATTACAGGAGTAGTTTCTAGATCGGCAGTGAACCAGGAGAGAACTGTCCAGAAATAAAGTGCCTAGTGATTGGTAGAAAACTGCCACCAATGGGGGGCAGAGAATATTCAGGGGGAGGCGGAAGTGAGTGGATTACCAGCCAACGTTACCTAAAAGATAAACTATCAGTAAGAATACAAAATAATAATAAAACACAATACGGCAACTAAGAAACAGTAATACAATAAACTGGTTTGCACCCTCACACCTGTACACCTACCTCTGCCCACCTGTGCAGTCGGATGGGGAGCTCTAAATCCGGGAGCTTCACGGAGTGGTTAGAAACTGGGGCTGCACAGTGGCTGCACAGTGGCTGCACCAGTGGCTGCACCGTGGCTGTGCCAGTGTCTGCACCGTGCCTGCACCGTGGCTGCACCAGTGGCTGTACCGTGGCTGCACCAGTGGCTGTACCGTGGCTGCACCAGTGGCTGTACCGTGGCTGCACCGTGGCCGCACCGTGGCTGGTAGCAGAACGAGCTCACGGCAACACTGGAGGCAGCCGGTCAAGGCCTGGCGGGCCAGTGTGTCACCGGTGTCAGGGTCTTTTATTAGGTCAGCAGGTCTAGTATCAATCCCCTGCGGAGGGAATCTCTGCGGGAATGGCTGCTTGATTCAGCTCAAGAACGATCACCACTGTACCAGTTCGTCTTCTGGTAGAAACAAAGCACACTAATTAGGGAATAGCAAGTCCGACAAAGCTAGATATCACTTGGTAGGCTGACATCGAACGTGACGGTAAAGTTTAAATAGCTTGGCAGTGGGCAAAACAGGGCTGAGGACACAGCAACATGAGTGGAACTGAGGATCCAAGGTGGTCAGGAGTCGGGTCGGGGCACAGACTGCGGCACGGGGCCATCACCCGGGCCCGGCCAGTGGTCCCGTGGCCTGGACCTCACGAACCGCGGCCACAGCAGGCTTCTGCCGCTTCCCTCCTGACCTGTGAAATGGTGTCGCTCACACGAGTGCCCGTGGGTCTGAGGGCCAGGGCAGGGCTTCGAAGGGCCAAGCGCTGTGCAATAGGAACCGCGAGGAAAGCGAAGTGCTGAGCTGTCCTGAGAAGTCCCGGCAGAAGAAACCCTTAGGTACGCACGACGCGAGGGGAAGAGAGACCCATCCAGAACGTACAGAAGGATGAAGCAAGGTGGAGTTTCACATGCACTGTGGTCTTCAAAAGGAAAACCTCATAAAAGGCTTTGCTGTTTATTGATACTTGTCTGAATTACTTTTCCACGTAGTGGTTTCTTAGCAATCATACCTGTGGACCGCAGTGTCTGTCTAACCGCCTTGAACTTCACGACTATCCCCTCCCCTCCCCTGTGCCTACGGCGGACTGCCCGTGTTCCACAGTGAGAACACGCAGACCACACGCCTTCCTGCATGTACCCCGAGCCTGCTACCCTGCTTTTGTGACCTGGAACTGAAACGGCCGGTTGCTGTTAGACCAGGAAACAGGGCAGGGATCATCCTTGTCAACTCCTTCGACGGCTCTCCACTGCCCTTAGAATAGTCCACTTTAATATGGCATCAAACGTACTTCCCGATCGGGTCCCCGGGCCCTCTGGTTGTACCTGCCTGCCCCCCGCACCTATTTAGCCATGCTTGCGTTCTTCCAGACCTCCGAGGTGCCAGACCTCTGCACAGCTGTCCCGCCTGCCCAGAGTGCCATGTGCCACTCCTCGGCTGTCTGGCCTCTGTTCGTTCTTCTGAGTCTCCCTTGACCCCTTCTCGAGACTGGGTTAGACTCTCGACCACCACCTCCCACGTCTCACCCGTGCATGTCATGGTGCTGTGGTCACGCGTGCAATTAGCTGTCTCAGCTGAGCAGGCTCTCGTGACAGTCGCCTGCAGTGCTGCTCAGGAATGTTTCCACCAGGCGGCAGTGCCAGGACTTGGGAGGTACACAGCAACACCTGGGGTACGAGCTGCCAGTGGCGAACACTGGGCACACACTCGTTCAGTGACAGACAGCTGTCTGCTAGGAGACAGACTTCTGGGTTTAGGAAGGCGACACGTGGCGGCCACACGGAGCAGCCCACTGCTGTTCCGACCCAAGGCAATCCTGTGCGCAGACTGGCCACCGCACAGCAGAGGCGTGCTGTGGGCAGCGGAGGAAGCAGTGTTTATTCTGAAACTTTCTGGGGCGACCATGTGGTTAGCAAAAAATCACATTCCATATAAATCAGAAATGTGTTCATTTTCACATGAAAGAACCCCATCAGGTCACCATCATTGCAGCAGCGTCTGTCTGTCCCCTGCTAGGCACCTCGAGTGCTGAATGCGCCCTGGTGTGGTTCGGTTGGCTGGAGCATCACCCGTACACCGAGAGGTCTCGGGTTTGAGTCCTGGTCAGGCACATACTTAGGTACCTCAGGCGAGGAATACAATAAAATTACCGAATGCTTTTTGAAGAGGCAGTTTCAGTTCTGCCCACCCGCCATGCAGCAGCAGCACAGGCACTACTCGTACCCGGACAGTCCTGTGGCCACCCCGTAGCCCTCAGGAGCTGCGCCCTCAGCACGCTGAGCAGCAGGGCTCTGTGGTCGACAGGAGAATGGCCCGTCCTAGCAAAGGGCTAACACTGTACCGGGAGCCATGATGCTTTGCCACCAGCTGGCACCCACGTCTGCAGGGCTGCAGGGGTCACAACGGATTCCGAGAGTGGCAGTGGGCCGTCCGAAGACGGCAAGGCCCGGGGAGCCACTGAATGACTGAGCCCCTCCTATGTCCTCAAGGTGACAGACTGATAACCAATCGCTTCTATTTATTTTAGGACACGATATACTTTATAGATCCATGGATGATACTAACCTGTTTATAACCCTGTTTAAAAATCCATAGGGTATTTAATTTGAGCAAAGATAGGTTCTATAAATCATAAAACCAGATAGATTAATGATGATACACGTATCAAAATCAGATTAAAAACGTAGGTCATGGTTTTCACTAATTGTCTTGGCATTAAAGATGTTATAAAGAAAAAAAAACCATCATCAAATATCCCAACATTTACAGACACAGGTGTTGTCAAAAGGTCCTTCTCTGACTTCAAAGAGAAACCACCCAAATGTTATTCTTTAACTGCAGACATGACTGAACTCTAGTCCGTGGTATTGCTGCTTCTCCTGCTGCGGCAGCCTCTAGTTTTCTCAAGGCCTTCCCCCAACTTTCCTAGAAACGAAATATATTTCCAGCCTTCAAATCAAAACGCTATCCTCATAGACATATGTACCAGGTTGGTATAGTCACATATATGCTTTCCGTTTTCAAGCTAAGCAAAGACATGCATTTAGAGTTTTATTAAAGCAAAAGACAATCCAACCTAATATCAAGAGCAACCGTGACCTTCCTATGTAGTGTTTGATACAGAAAACATTGATTTCGACATATCTTTTTTTATTCAAATACCCTCTGATCTTTCATGGTCCAAGAACATTCAAATAATACACCAAAAAGGAGCAGATGTTAAAGACCGGTCTTCAGACGTTATAGCCAATGATGCCACGCTTGCCTATGATCTCGCCGATATAAAACCACATCCACACCTCAGTGGCCACCAGACCGTTCAGCAGAGCTTGCTGGGGGGGAAAAAAAAGCATAGACTTTAATGTACATCTTCTTCTTACATATTTAAAACGATCATTTTCCAGGATTAAGTGATAGAGACTATACGGATGCTATTAAAATTAGGGGGCAATTTTAGTCAGTCAAGAATTACTGATGTTAAAACTTTGTTCGACTGCTAAGAACCCCTGAACAACCAATTATATAAGGTAAGTAGTTCAGAGCTTATAAATTCTTTCAAAGTATTCTTTAAAGATCTGAACTGACTTAACACTTTCATTGCTAGTTTATGACACACTTTATGAGCCCTAAAACAGCCCACTCCCCGGAAGTAGCCGACACCTCCAGACAAGGGCTCATCTGAAAGGCTGCCGATGGGAAGGAGGCGAGTCTCTGAATAGACATTTCTTTTATTTATTTATGTATTTATTTATTTACTTTTGTTACAGATGTTTCTCCTTTTCCCCTCACTGATTCCTCCCTCCCCCACCCTCCCCGCCCTGTCCCCAGCTTTGTTGTCCTAGTCCATTGTTCATGAATACATGCATTCTTTTCTTTTTTTAAATCAATTACTTTACTTTTGTTACAGATGTGTCTCCTTTTCCACGCGGACACCCTCCTCCCTATCCCGGCCCCCCAAGCATTGTTGTCTATGTCCATTGGCTGAACAGACGTTTCCATCTGACCAGAAAAATCTGTTGAAAGATAAAAGGCTCTGTTTTCTCCTTTAGACATCATTTTACTCATTTCCTACCTGCCTGACTCTTGCAGGCAGTGACCACTCAGCCCACGGACCAGTGTTCTCCTGCCCTGGAGGGAAGGTGCGCTGATGGCCCCAAGAAAGCAGCGTTACATCAAGTGCAAATACGGACTTGAAATGTGAGTTGAAAAAACTACCTTTCCACAAAACTCCGCCTTTCCCTTTCAGCCCCTGGAGGCGGATTTTCTGTTTATGCCCAGAAGCAGCATGGCCAGTGTGGCTCAGGCTGAGCGTGGACCTTGCACCGAGAGGTCTGACTGGATCCCCCTGGGGGCGTGCCAGAGGCAGCCAACTGATATTGATGTTTCTCTCTCTCCCTCCCTCTCTCTAAAATCAATAAAAACACATTTAAAAAACACTGTTTTCCATGCCTGGCCAGTGTAGCTCAGTGGATTGAGTGTCGTCCCATGGACTGAGGGGTCCCGGTTCGATTCCTGCTCAGGCCACATGCCCCGGTTGTGGGCTCGATCCCCATAGGGGGCGTGCAGGAGGCAGCCAATCGATGTTTCTCTCTCTCTCTCTGAAAGAAAAAAAAAAAATCAATAAAAGCATATTAAAAAAAAAGTTATTTTCCAGCATGCAGTTTCTTAAGTTGGCAATAATTTAATTCTTCAGGGTTTTTATCCCATGCCTCAATCACAGAAGCAAACAAAACACAAGTTCATTCTTCTAGTTTTAGATTCTGTCTTCACACAATTCAATAATCTTTCATGTGATAGTATACATTTGCCAGGTTTTGATATTTTTATCCTCCTTATGAATGTTAGCGGCCTGACTGTGATATATGCTAAAAGATCTGTTGACCAAACTGGGGACAGTTCCAGGACTGCAGATGAAATAAGCACAGAGCCGGCCAAGGGAGCCTTCCTATTTACATACTCACCAAACAGGAAGAGAAAAACAGTTGCCCAGTAAGAACGCTCACTTTTTTGTTACAGGAATAGAAAAGCTAGCTACCTAACAGCCCATCAATCAGCAGTCAGGAAGGAGATCCTCTCTCAGTATGTTAATTTCAGTCACATATATATATTAATCAAAACAATCAGAAAAACCCCAAGGGAAGACATTTCCTGTTATGCATATGCTTTCATTCATTTATTTATTTAATCCTCACTTGAGGATATTTTTTCTTGATTTGTTTTGAGAGGGAGAAACAGAAACATCAACGTGAGAGACACAGCAACTGGTTGCCTCCCACACGAGCCCTGACCAGAGCTGGGATTGACCTGCAACCCTGGTACGTGCCCTTGACTGGGAAGCAAACAAACCCTTGACCCTTTGGTGCTCACGCCAACACTCTAACCACTGAGCCACACCAGATAGGCCTGTTTTTTTTTTGTTTTTTTTTTTAAAAAAAAACTGATTTGAGAGAAACATCAATGAGAGAAACATCGATTGGCTGTGTCCCATATGCGCCCCACTGAGGATCAAGCCCACAACCCAGGTATGTGCCCCGACCAAAATTCAAACCCAAAATGTTTTAGTGTTTGGGATGACTCTCTAACCACGGAGCCGCCTGGCCAAGGCCCGCACCTTCCTCAGCACGTAGTTACCTTCACTGTGAGCTGCTTGAAGCTGCCAGTCTGGGCACTACTGACTATCTTCTTCAAGCCCTGGACAGCTGCAGGGATCTCAGCTGGGGTGGGTGGAATCAGCTCCACCTTGGCATAGTGCCAGAATGTGGCCAGTCGCGGTTTCGAGTAAGTCACAGCAGCTGGAAAACAAAACAAAACAAAACAAAACAAAACAGGATGAACTCACTAGAGACGAAGAAGCAGATGTGTGGGCTGGACACTAATATTTACTCATGCATCACACTCATTCACTGCTTGCTTCCAGTGTGCACCGGTGTGAAAAGCCAAAGCGCTCCCTGGTGAGAAGGGGCTTTGCGGATGCAGACACCTGTGTCACAGGCGGTTCCGGAGGCAGGAAACGCAGCACGTTCAAGCCAGGACTGGCGAGCGGGCAGCCAGCTCTGCCCCTTTACTTATGAAGGGCAAATCCAGTAACTGTTGAGCTACTGGAAGCTGGATTCAAAAACAAGAGAGCAGCGAACGCAATGCGTTCTTAGGAGAGACCAGGACATCTGCAGGGAAGAGGGCGGTGGGGGAAGGAGCTACGCAGAATGGCATCCTTCTGAGTGAGACTGAAACTTGTCACAACATTGGCCACAAATCCAGATGGAATTACACGCTAGTATCCTTCTGGTACCCTCATCAATTTGTGCTGGATTAAACCTGTAACAGAAGCCCAGCTGAGCCTCTTGCAAAACATCACAAATAATGAAACCTACACATACTGTTAAGAGCAGCCAAAACGTGAATTTATTACTAAGCTAAACTTCTTCAAAACATTATTTTAGGAAAAAAAGATTTTTAACTACCAATGTACATGGGAGACTATGGTAGTGATTTCATTGAGGAAGGCATTTTATTTAAAAAAATTACAAGACAGCCCTGGCCGGGTTTGCTCAGTGGTTAGAGCTTCGACCTGCAGTCCAGAGACCCGGGTTCAGTTCCCGCTAAGGGCACGTACCTCGGTTGCAGTTTGTCGCCGGCTCTGGTTGGGTTGTGCGGGTGGCAACCACTCGATGTGTCCCTTCACATCGATGTTTCTGTCTCTCTCTCTTCCTCGTTCTCCCTCCCACTATATCTGAACAAAAAATGGAAAGAATGTCCTCAGGGATAAAAAATAAAATAAAAATAAATAAATAAATACAAAAATCACAAGACAAATGGAGTAAAAGCACAAACGTATGAACATCCATAAAGTGTCTATTGTTCAGGGATAGACCCAACGCTTCTGTACTTTTCCTATTATTAACTACCCGTGTTTAGTATTTCACTACTCTTAGAATTACTATTTCCATTATCCTCTGTGCTTAAGGCTATGGAAAAAAAATTAAAATAAAAAAAAAGTTTTTATTGGTTTTAGAGAGAGGAAGGGAGAGGAAGAAACATCGACTGACCCCCTCCTGGGGATCGAACCCACAACCTGGGCATGTGCCCTGACCAGGAAGCAAACTGGTGACCTCTTGGTGCATGGGTCGATGCTCAACCACTGAGCCACACTGGCTGGGCAAAAAAAAATGTTTTAAATAGATTTTAGGGAAAAAGGGGTGGTGGGAGGAACACTGATCTGTTGTACCCTCATTGGCTGATTCCTGCGTGGGTCCTGCCTGAAACCTGCAACCTGTGCTCCAACCAACTGAACTCTCCAGCCAGGACACTGCGCCTCTTTAAGCAGACACAGAGATCTAAGAGGTAGTTCTAAACAGAATTACAGATGCCCGAAGACGGGGCTATCAAAAAGGACGAAGCCTGCCTTGGCCAGTGCGGCACCGAAGGGCTGCTGGCTTGCCCCTGGCCCCGGCAGGGGTGTGAAGGAAGCAGCTGACTGATGTTTCTTCCTCTCCCGCTCCTTTCCTCTCTCTAAAGATCAATAAAAATGTATTTTTAAAAAGTACAGTCTGTGTAATTCTTTAAAATTTAATCTTTAATACCCAAATATTTCATCCTTTAAAAAGACTGATACACTGTACACAAACACTGTACTTTAGGAGAGAAGTTACAGAAAGCAAGAATAAACCCCATGGTACTGGATTGGAGTTGGAGACATTCTTAAGAATTCATGGTTGGGTTAATGTATGTATACGGAAACTATATATATGCATGTATACACATGGTTTAGTGTATACACATGGTTTAGTGTACACACACGGTTTAGTGTACACACACACACACACTCACTGAGAGCTTAGAAGCAATAATATAGTTTAGCGGCAAAGAATATATCCAGTGTCTAGATTTTAGTTTCAAAAAACCATTGTCCAATAAAAAACTAGGGCTCCTTGGAGAAATGGCTGACTCTAAGGCGAGGCAGGGAAAAGAAAAGATGAGCCGGAAGCATCTGGCAGTGCCCAGGAAGCAAAGCGGGCCTGTCAAAGGACAGGTGTCAAACTGAGAGCTCTCAATGGCCAAGGCTGCAACCATTTGAGCAACAAAATAAAGAACATACTATGGAAGTGAGAAGTAAAAGTACATGAGTCCATACAATAAATAACTGAACAAATAAATCAACGGGAAAGAGACAAGCCTTTCTCACAGAGGGATTCTATTTAAACGCATGCAGACACTCCCTCTTCCAGATGGAACCCCCTGGTGGCTGCTGCTGCTACCTCCCCTCCCCCCCAACCCCTACACCATGGGCTGGGCCTACTTTGCTTCTAAAGAACAGAGTGTGGAGCCCTGGCTGGTTGCTCAGTGGTTAGAGCCTCGGCAGCGGACCAGAGAGTCCCTGGCTTGGTTCCTGCTAAGGGCACGCACCTCGGCTGCAGTCTGTCCCGGCCTGGTTGGGGTCGTGTGGGTGGCAGCCACTTGATGGGTCTCTCTCACATCCATGTTTCTCTCTCTCTTCCTCTCTCCCTCCCGTTCTATCTGAAGATAAATGCAAAAAAAAGTCCTCAGGTGAGGATAAAAAAAAAAAAGAATAGAGTGTGGAAAGGGAAAACCAGTAACTTTACAGTGAGGAACCCAGCAAACATGCCTTAGCCAAGTGGTGAAACCAGCGCTGCTACATGGATCTCACGTTCATCCCGGTAAGTGATTCGACTACTTCACTTTTTCTTTTAAATGCACTTTATTTATTTATTTATCCTCACCTGAGGACATCTTTTGATATTTTGTTCAGATAGAGTGGGGGAGAGAGAGAGAGAGAGAAACATTGACGTGAAAGGGACACATCGAGTGGTCACCACCCGCATGACCCTACCGGGGCCGGAGACAAACTGCAACTGAGGTACGTGCCCCCAGTGGGAACTGAACCCGGGTCTATCTGGACCGCAGGCTGACGCTCCAGCCGCTGAGCCAAACCAGCCAGGGCTGATTTCTTCACTTTTGTGGTATTCTTTCTCAGAACCTACAGCTCCAGACTAATCATGAGAAAAACACCAGACAAATCTAGAATGAAGAACATCTTCATAGGACACCTACACAGATACTTACATAGATACCTTAAAACAGTCAGAGTCATGAAAAGTAAGCAAAGATTGGAAAACTGTCGCACAACAGGGGCTAGGGAGACTGACAACTCAGTGCAATGTGGAACCCTGGACTGGCTCTTGGAACAAAAAGATTAATGAAGCCCTGGCTGGTCTGACTGAAGGGTCTTGGGTTCCATTCCCAGTCAAGGACACGGACCTGGGTCGTAGGTTCAATCTCTGGCCCCAGTCAACCAATCAATGTCCCCCCACACCTCCTTCCACTTTATTTAAAAATCAGTGGAAAAATATCCTTGGGTGAAGATGAACAAAACTAAATAAATTTAACATTCACATTTAATAAGTTTAGTTATGTTATACAGCAAATTATTTCCACTTTAACATTCTGGCCCCGGTTGACTTCTCCTTTCTGAGTACTTTTGGGAGAATAACCACCTTTACCTTTCAATTATTCACAGTAACAGAAGAAAGGGCTTACCTATTTCATAACATAAAATTGTTTTTGTATTCCCTTCATTTTTGGATTTTATTATTAAAACTACTTTGCAGCTGCCCAACAGGCACCATCTAAATGATGTGAAAGCCACTTGAAACTTACAATTTTTTTTTTCCTCAAATCATCTCAAGTCCCAAGAATGAAGCCGTTCTTCCTTCTCTTTTGACTTAGGTCAAGCTGTAGAGCTTTGCCACACAGAAAACCTGGATGATCTGCCCTGGCCGGCTTGGCTCAGCGGTTAGAGCGTCGGCCGGCGGTCCAGAGAGCCGGGTTCGATTCCTGCTAAGGGCATGTACCTCGGTTGCGGTTTGTCCCCGGCCCTGGTTGGGTCATGTGGGTGGCAGCCACTCGATGTGTCCCTTTCACATCACTCTTCTCTCCCTCTCCCTTCCCCCGTCTCTCCCTCCTGCTCTATCTGAAGATAAATGCAAAAATGTCCTTGGGTGAGGATAAGGAAATATACACACACACACACATACATATATATGTGCGTGTGGATATAGATATAGATATAGATATAGATATAGATACAGATATAGATATAGCACCCTTGATGATCGTAGTCAAGTTGCAAACTGAAGTTCTTTGGGAGAATGTCTAAACTAGACTGTAGGGGGAAATAGCTATTGTAGCCCCTGGCACTGGAAGGCCCCCAATAACTCATGGATGGAGCAAAGGCCTGAGAGGTAAATAGAAAGTAGGGATCCCAGGGCGTCATTTCGAGTCCAGGTCATGTTAAATCTGAGCGAAGGCTCCTGAGAGCTGCACCTGGACCGCCCCCGAGGCTGGCCCGCCGGTGGGAGCGCTGCGGGCGGCCGTCACTCCGCCTCGGGAAGGAGAGGAGCAGCCTGCCTCCCGGCAGAGGGCCGGTCGGCCGGCAGAGCTGCGGCTCCTCCGGGGGGCTCGGCGCTGCAGGACGGCCGATGGCACACCCGCGAATGCTTTCGGGGCGGCGACACTCGTCCCCGACACCCGATTCCACCTGAGAGCCCTCCGAACCGGGCCCCGGAACCGGGCCGGTGCAGGCAGGCAGCAGTCCTCGTTCTAAACCCCCCCCAACGGCCACGCTGCTGCTGTGTCGACCTCGAAGGGCTCGGTCAACAAGCACACGAGCCGCCGCGGCCGCGCTGACGCCCTCGCGCACCCCGCCGCCCTCCTGCCCGGCGCTCCAGTCCCACGGGGGCGCGGGGCTCCCCGCACACGCCGCCCTTCGGGGTGCGGCCTCCAGGGTGCACCGAGAAACCCCTGCAGGTCGGCGAGCTGGAGGCTGGAGGGGCGCAGACCGCCCGGCTCCCCCCCGCCAGGCCCCCCGCGCCCGGGCCCCCCGGGCTCCCACAGCCGCGGCGCCCTCTCGGCCTCGCGGCCCCGGTCCTGCGGGGTCACCCGCCCGGCAGCCCGGCGCCGCGCTCACCGTTGACCAGCGCGGGGGCCTTCTCCGCGAGGTTCCGCACGAACTGGGCCATGGCTCCGGGACGGACACTCTGCGCCCCACGGCCGGCTGAATGTCACCCCTCGTCGGGACGCACCGAAGGACCCCGCTCCGCGTCCAAGGTCAGGCCTGCCCGAGCGGCGCCGGTCCCGGATATTTCGGGCGTCCTGCTGTCTTTCCGGAATCTACTGGCCAGTCTCACTTCTCCAGCCACGGAGGAGGACGTGGGCACGAGGGGGTGAGCGCAGGACGCCCGTGGCGACCCCTGGGCTTGCGCAGAGGGACAGGCATTTCCTCGGGCAGCCGCGCGCGCAGGCCCGGAAGGCCGGCGGGCGAGGGAAGGCGCATGCGCCCCGGGCCCTGCGCGCCTCGGCTGCGTCCCCCGCTGTTCCGCCGGCGCTGCTTCCGCTCTTGGGAACCTGGGGAGTTCGGGCGGGAGGCTCTGGGGACCGCGTCTAGGCCGCACTGGCGCTTGGAAGGCGGGGGTCAAGGCCACACGTGTGCGGTTCGGGGCCGCGCAGGCGCCCCTACCTCCCAGCTCAGCCCGCTGCCTCTCTCGAGCGGATCCGCGTCCGGGTTGGAGTCCAGCTCCCCCAGCTCCTAGCCAGCCGCGCACGCGAGGACCAGACTCGCACGGAGCGCTCCCGGTGCGCAGGCGTTTTGGAGGATGCAGCCGGCCTGTAAGTCCGGCCGGGGCCTCGCTCAAGACCGGCGGGGAGGAACGGCAGGGCCGGGGTCGCGGGCTGCAGCGCCCACGCAGCCAGGACCACAGCCCGGATGCGGCGTGCTGCCGACCGGGAGACCTCCGCAGGAAGGAGATCCTCCACGCATGGGCGACGGGCCGCGGGCCGCACACACTCGAAGCCCCCGCGTGCGCCAGGCCCGGAGGAAGACACGTAGGGGGGAGGCGGCATTGGATGAGAAACAACGTCAAGTAAGGAATGTATCCCGGGGAAGCCCGAGCAGAAGAAGTGAAACATCCGGATTGATAGCATCGAGGTGGAAAGAAAAATGAGGCGCCAAGAGCAGGATTTCGGTGGAGGGATTCAGCTGTCTTATGCCAAAGAGACGTCCGTTGAGGATGGGGAAGTTCACTTGGTAATGTGGAAACATTAGCTGGGGCAGCTTCAAAGAATTAGGGTAGAAGCCAGAGTGAATGGATGAAGAAATAATGGCTACAAGGGAAACAAGTCAGAAAAACAAATAGGGATGTGGAAGTTAAATGAGAGAATGAAGATAGACAGGGGGCATTGACAAGATCCATGATGGGGTATGAGAAGTTTGGAGGGATTAGCCTTGTGACCGTGGGGCCTTTTTTACTGATGGGGCGATGGGAGAAAAACTTATAAGAAAATCCAGGGTCTTTCTAGTGAAGTAGAAGGCAAGGTCATCTGAGTGTGAAGGGTCAGTGGGAGGGTGGGAAGAATTGAGGAAAGAAGTTCGAGTTTGGAATAGCTGTTGAAGGACACAGCAGGGTTTTGGATGATGTTAGAAACTACAAGTCTGTGGTGCATCATTCTAAAGATTGTGTTATTTTTCTCCAATAACGGTCTGTAGTTTGGATACTGGAACAGAGGAGAAGGGCTGGGTTAACCTAGGCAGAGGTCTTGCATGGCAGAGGTACAGAAATGAGGGGGCAAGGGGTACAATATAGTCAGTGATTAAAATGAAAGACTTGGGGTTTAGGCCAGATGAAGAATAAAGCCAGAAGTGAAGTGATTGGAATACTCCTCTTCCAAAGAACTACAGGGCCCAGCCAGTCACAGGTCCTACCTACAACAAAAGTGAAGGTCAGAGCCCTTCACATTTCCAGAGAGATTTCTGAAACTGCCATTAGCTTTAATACTGTAATAAAGGAAGTGATAACAAAGGTTATAAGTTAGGTGTTCATTTATTAAATACAAGCTTTGAACAAACACCCCCAGGTGAGTTTGACAAGAAATAACCTTCTTGGAATGTTTCAAAATACAGTTTACGTTGATCAAGTTTTATTTCAATCAACCTTTTTGTTGTTTTGTTCTTCATCTTTTTGTTTCTAAGTTCTTTTCCTGTTTAGCAGTTCGAGCACATACATTATTTACTCATGTCACCCACCGTGCAGCATCAGCCTCTGGCTGGTAAAGGCACCCCAGGAGACTTATGCTCTGCACATCGGCTGCTTAGCAACCAGCATCAAATACAGTAATGAAGCGTCTGTAGAGTGTGATACCAAATAGCAACTGGCACCTTTACCCGCACCATTAAAGAATCTTTTAACATTCCTTTTAGGTTTTATATATCCATTAAAAAAACCCAGATTGCTTGATAAACCCTACCTAATTTCCCAAGTTTAGTAGTACCCTCTTAGTAGGCAATATTAGAGATGATTAAAGAGTCTTCATTTTCCTATCATACTCCAGCAAAGCCAACACCAAAAACTAGGGATTATGGGAGGTCTGCTCCCATACACTATAACTGCTTCTGAGTTCCAGGTAACAGAACACCTCTAAGCTTCCAAGTGCATACATGCACTGCATTGTACCAAAATGATAGTTTTTTAGTCTCATTTTTTGGATGTTCTTAAACCACTTGGTTTCCTTACCAATAGTGGCCTTAAGCTATGAACTTGCCTTTGTAATGAGTTTAAAGACATTCAGCAGCATTAATGGTGCTATAGCCGTTCATAAGTTTCAGGAAAAGGGCTTTAAAACACACACAAAAGCTTTCCAGAAAAGGCTTACAATCTGACGACTAAACACATAGTGGAATATAGACATAGATACAGACGAACAGGTTGTTGAGTAGAAAGCTACTGGGAATAGCTGCCTTCTGAGGTTTTGTGCCCATTTTCCCTCCGATTTTCTCCTATAAAACTCTGGTCTTTCCTTCACTTCTTTTAGAAATGAAAACATCCTATCATATTGGGTTTGGAAGATAAAGGCGAGTAGGTAGCAGCTTATTCTATACACAGTACATTCTCAATAAAGGAGGATAATAAACATGACATGACATGAAGCTTATTTTAAGAAATAAACGAATCCTGCCAAGCCTTCAGGACCCAGGACTGCATCGAATTATGATCTAACAACGTGCTGGCATTTGCACACCTGACTTTCCCTTTCGTTTATAAGCACAGAACAGGCAACATCTGTAATATCTAGTGTGGGATGTCCTCTGATTTGTGGTTTTCCAGCTGATACCATCAAAAACATATCAAGAGCTGTCGACAGAAACTTGGATTATGAAACATCTTATTTGAATGACGCTATGGTTAATGATGTCCTCTAAAGGAAGCAATGACCTGTTTCCAGATCATACCCTTTTTCTTGTCACTGAGGGTATCTTTGGGCTTAGGGGGACAGTGATACAGACAGTCCCCAGGGGAATGTGCCTTACTTAGCATGTTGAGCTGCACAACTAAGTAGTGAACTCAAGCTCAACTTGTAAACATGGGGCCCACCCACCTGCTAACTACACAGGGCTAAGCCGATATTTAAAATGGTCTGGACAAAGCTGTCCTCAGATTCCTTCTCTGTTTACTGCTAACCGAAAGCTGAGTTAGAAGCAGTTCTTGGAATTCAGATCATAAGCCCTAATGTTAACTATATACATTTCATCATCTCAGAATTCTGTCTAGAGAAGTGTGTCACTGGCCACGCTGCATGCATCTTCCCCTGGAAGAGACGACTTAAAGCGGTATTCAGTTTACACTAGACTGAGAGAAAAGCACATGGTACGTATATACTGAGATGCACTGTTGATACTGGTGTCTTAAAAGGACATTTTTCCTGCTTACGGTGTCTGTCGTCCAGCTCCTCTACTCAAGTCTGGTACTGTAGCAACAGATCCCATCAGCCCAACGGCCCAACGGCCTCCTTTCTTCTCACCTCACAAGTCTTTGAACTGTGTCAACAGCGTTTGTCCTGTCACTTCTAAAGATACTGTAGGGCTAAGTTTTCTGTGGTAATGACAACCCCATGAGTGTCCTCCACTGTATCTGAGTTACAAGATAACACAAAATTAAAGAGTTAGCAGCAACACAACTGTGTGATACGTTTCCTTTTCATCTATCATCTTACTGAAAAGTACTCAAAGGTGAAGGTTACACAGAGCTGTCACAAGGAAAGGAACTGATGTCTGGGTCATGAAGACTAGTCAATACCTTGGTAACACAGGACTTTCTGATGACATCAGCTGTCACTGAAGCATGTGACATCATACACTTAAAAGCAGTGCTCACCAAAGATGTCTGAGCAGTCCTTGGAAGAGAAATGCTAAGGTGGCAGGAAGTTTTTGTAGTTGGAGTTAATGTCATTTAAGGTAGGACGGGAAGAAGAAAGAACAGGATGAGAGAATGGAGCGTAAAAATCAGTGATTACGTCTAAGCGTGGCGCTGTGACCAGTCTGCGAGCCGGGAGCACTGGCAAGTCCTTAGGAATCTCAATCATCGTGATTTGAGCAAGAGCAGTTCTCCAATTTGCAAAGAGGAAGAAAAAAAGGAACAGAACCAAAGAGAAGTGACAAACAACTGTTTATCTACACGCTGGGTGGTTGGGTTGGTTCAGGTCACAGTATTTATTCGAGTTGCTCCTTTTGCTGCTTCCTCTCTGCCAGCCACCGCTGGATTCTCTCTTTCAGTTCTGTGTTGGGCCGGATCTGGTCCATGGTGAGGGGACTGCGGTTAAAGGGATCTGTTTGGTCACTGGGACAGAGAAAGGAAAAGGGTGTTATTTCGGAAAGTTCTAACATCCCAGCCCAAACCAGAACACCTGGGACTCCACTCTGAGACGGAAGCTAGAGTGCATTATAATTAGGAATTCAGTGCTGAATTGAGGTCATGTGATGGGAAAGAATGACTCAGGACGTTACCACCCCCCCAGGCCATTGAGCTACTTTGTCTTTCTGCTTCTTAACAGACGTTATCTGGACATTGTCCCGATACTGGACTGGATCTCCCCAGGCAGAGACACTGCTCACTAAGGGTGAAGCGCTGTAGTTCTAGTGACAGGCGCTCCGAGCAGAACGGGACGTTACGGGGAAACCTTGTGAACTGACTGGCTCCAGTTAGCTGGTTGCTGTACAAGTGGGTGCAGAGTCTATTTCCTGACAGACAAAAAGGTGTATAACACTGTAAGGGCTGACGTGTCTCCTCCTCTTTATTCTGAGGGCGCAGTGACATGTCAGTTGTCACTCCCACCTTGGAAAGGCCACACCACTCGCACGACGTGCTGCACCCGTGTACGCTTCACACCGAACACCACGACGCAGACCTCCTCCCCCGCGGCATTCAGAAACTGGATTGCCTTAAATTTGGGCCAACCTATGTAACTTTTATTTTTTATTTATTTATTTTATTTTTTAAATCCTCACTCGAAGACTTTTTTTTTTTTTTGCATTTATCTTTAGATACAGCTAAGGGGGAGAGGGAGGGAGCGAGAGATGAGAGAGACACATCGAGTGGTCGCCACCCACACGACCCCAACCGGGGCTGGGGACAAACTGCAACCGAGGAAGTGAACCCAGGACTCTGGTCCGCGGGCCGGCGCCCTAACCGCTGAGCCAGACTGGCCAGGGCTATAACTCACTTTTAAATAGGCGGAGTCTCAGTGCCCATTCTTATGTAAGGTTGCACTCAGAACAGGAAGGATGGGCCAACTCGACAGCAGGGCTGAGCACAGCAGCAGAATGTGGGCTGACCCATGTGATGGATATGTCTAACACCCCAATGATAAAAATAGACACCCCTATCTTTCTGTTTGTTTTTTATTTAGTTCAGAGAGAGGGAGGGAGGGGGAGAGAGAGAAACATCATCGACTGCCTCCTACATGGCCTCTACTAGGGATTGAGCATAACCCAGGCATGTGCCCTGACTGGGAATTGAACCTGTGACCTCTTGGAAGACACCCCTATTTTTTATATTTTTATAAAATTAAAAAAAATTTTCAAGTCCATTTATACTCCAGGTTAACATATTTTATAACAAATGTTAACAAAAATTGTTTCCTTAAGGAAGGGAAAGATGAGGTTGGAAGCAGCATTTCTCAACAAGGTGTGTTGTTTGGGATGTTTAAATCCTTCCCAGTCAAGTGATACACTTGTACCAGTGCCGCCCCAACACAACAGTCCATCAACGATGGGGCGCCACTGGCGCACTGCACTGTAATCAGGGACTGGGACAAGGAGAGGACGGCTGTCCCCGTCCTCCTGTGGAGCTGTTACGGGCTGGCATACCTGAGCAAATGCCTGGCAATGGTGGCTCTGTCCACAGTGACTCTGGAAGACGGCAGCACCACAGGGTCCGACATCAGCGTGCTCATGATGGGATCCAGGAACTCGTCGCAGGCGTCTGCATAGGTCTCCTCCTCCTGCTGCTGGAGGTCTGCGAGGGACTGAGCGAACACCGAGCAGATGAAGTCAAATGCTTAGTGACTGGACCCTTCAAGGGTATATAACTTAACGGGTACATATTCAAGGGAATGACTCTCGACAGTGACGATGACAATTCTCAACTTGTTTCCTGACAAGACAATATTATAGGAGCCAATTTAGCACCCGGCCCCCACTCTGAGACTTCAGTCGGCTCAGCTGCGACAGGTTGAGTGTCACCCGGAAAGCAGTACGTCACATGCACCTCTGGCACAGTCCTGCTGTAAATGTCACAGTTCGAAAGGGGAGGGGCGGGGACTGTTATTCGCATACTTGCAGAGTCACTCCTGCAGTCTGCGGAAAAGCAGTTTCCGGTTTCAGGTGCAAACAGCTATGAGCCCCTCGGGCTCCCACGTGTGACACTCACGGCTCCAGTCCTCAGCCCTCTCACTAAACCCAGGCAGTGTTGCAGCCCAGCCTAAGACACAAGTAACTCGGTGACGAGAAGACTGATGTCACCGGGGAAGTTTTCTAGTGTGCACTGTGCCGTGATTTCCTTTGTTCACGACTGCTAGTGAAGCGCCGTCACACTCCAGCCAAAGGGGTTGTTCGCGAAATACAACACAGTGTTTCAGTCTTTAAAATGTATGGCTATTCCCACATGTGCCAAGGACCAACCACAAATATCAAGAACAGAGAAAATCAATAAAAATCAGTGATTTAAAACTACCCATCTTGAATTCTATTCTAAAAAGTTCTTTGCATTAACAATGTAGATTTTCAAATCTATTGGTAACACTGTACAAAAGTTTTCATTAAACAGCATACAGCCTGGCCTGTGTGGCTCACTGGCTGAGTGTCGAACCTGCACCAAGAGGTCTCTGGTTCGATTCCCAGTCAGGGCACATGGCCAGGTTGTGGGCCCGATCCCCAGTGGGGGACACACAGGGGGCAGCCAATCGATGTTCTCTCTCATCAATGTTTCTATCTCTCTCTCTCACTTCCTCTCTAAAATCAACAGAGAGTCCTGGCCGGGTTTCTCAGTGGTTAGAGCGCCGGCCCGCGGACCACGGAGTCCCGGGTTAGGTTCCCGCTAAGGGCATGTACCTTGCTTGCGGTTTGTCCCCGGCCCTGGCTGGCGTTGTGTGGGTGGCAACCAGTTGATGTGACTTTCTCACATCGATGATTTTCTCTCCCTCCCTCTCTCCCTCCCACTCTACCGCTCTATCTGAAGATAAATGCAAAAAAAAAAAAAAATCCTCAGGTGAGGATTAAAAAGTCAATAAAGAAATAAGTAAACAGCCTATAGAAGTCTGTACATTCTTCTCTTCTAGCAGAAGCTTCTCAAGTCACTCTTCCTGCTCTCACCCTCACACTGAAGAGTAATGGCAGTGCCCAGTGAGTGAGAGCACTGTCCCCATACACAAGGGTTTGGGTTTGATCCCCAGTCAGGCACGCACAAGAACCACCAGTGAGTGCACAGGTACGCGGACAACAATGATCTCTCCTTGCTCTCTCTGAAATCTATAACAAAACAGTAGTGTTACGAATGCAGTAGCTCTAGTTATTGCTAATCATGTTTATAGTTTTCAAGGCAATGATTTTCTTCCCTCCCAAAACAGGGTGAAGAGTAAAACAGCTGAGTCATCAATGTGATAAAAAAAAAAGTTTTTATTGATTTTTTTTAAAGAGAGGAAGGGAGAGGGAGAAAGAGAGAGACATCGCTCCGTTGCCTCCCATGTGCACCTGAGAGGGGATCGAACCTGCAACCCGGGTGGTGCCCTGACCAGGAACTGAGCCAGCAGTGGCCTTCTGGTGCGCAGACTGTCCAACTGACTGAGCTACACTGGCCAGGGCAGCGGTGTGCTTTAAACAAATTTTCCGCCCTGGCCAGTTTGGCTCAGTGGTTAGAACATTGGTCTGCAGTCCAGTGAGATCTGGGTTGGGCTCCCGCTAAGGGCATGTACCTCAGTTGCAGTTTGTCCCCGGCCCTGGTTGGGTCGTCCGGGAGGCAGCTACTCGATGTGTCCCTTTCACGTCGATGTTTCTCTCCCTCCCTCCCTTCCTCCCTCCCACTCTATCTGAACAAAAAATGGAAAAATGTCCTCGGGTGAGGATAAAAAAACAAAAACAAAAACAATAAATTTTCCTTTTCTTGACTGATTTTAGAAACAGGGAGAGGGAGAGATAAAAACATCAGTGGGAGATGCCCTGGCCAGTTTGGCTTAGCGGTTAGAGTGTTGGTCCGCAGAGCAAAGAGTCACAGGTTCGATTCCTGGTCAAGGGCATGAACCTTGGTTGAAGGTTCCATTCCTGGCCCTGGGGTCACATGGGAGGTAACCAATCAATGTGTCTCTCTCATATTGATGTCCTTCTCTCTCTCCCTTCCCCCCCCTTCACACTATCTAAAAACAAGTAAATAAATAAACTAAAGGATAGTTGTAATTAAAACAAAGAAACATCGATGAGAGAGAACATCAATGGGCCGCCTCCTGCATGCCTCTCACTGGGGATTTGGCCCACAACCTGGGCATGTGCCTTGACTGGGAATCGAACTGGCGACCTCTTGGTGTATGGGTCGACGCTCACCCACTGAGCCACACTAGTGGGGCTGTTTTTGTTGTTAATCCTCATCTGAGGATATTTTTCCATTGATTTTTTAAAAAAATCCTCACCCAAGGATATTTTTCTATTTATCTTCAGACAGAGTGGGAGGGAGGGAGGGGGAGAGAGAGAGAGAGAAAGAGAGACATCGATGCGAGAGAGACACACTGATTGGTTGCCTCCCACACAACCCCAACCAGGGCCGGGACCGAACTGCAACTGAGGTACTTAACCAGAATCAAACCTGCATTCTCTGTTCTGCAGGCTGACACTCTAACTGCTGAGCCAAACAGGCCAGGACTTCCACTAATTTTTAGATAGAATGGAAGAGAAGGAGGGTGGGAGAGACACAACTGTGTGCCTCTCGCACCTGAACCTGTAACCCAGGTACGTGCCCTTGACCAGGAATCAAACCTGAGACCCTTCGGTCCACGGGCCAACTGGCCAAGGCAACAATGACTTTTATAGAACACGTTAATAAACAAATTATCCTGTCTCACCTTGATTCTCTCTGCTAAGTTGCTGAAAGCCACAATCATATTCCCAGGCTTATTTATTTTCTTCAGGACTCGGACTGTCTGTGCAAAGAGAGTTGGGGAATAGGAACGTCCATCCTTGGGCACAGTGGCACAGAAATTCTCCTCATCCCTACAAGGGCAGCATTGGAAAGAAAAGGAGGATCAGAGGAGATAGCAAATGGGTTGAGGAACAAGGGTCCCCATCACTTAAAATGCCATAAATGTTCTTTTGATAAAGATTTTTTCTAATTTTTAGAAAGGAAGTCTATCAAGTGTTCGTGGCCTTAAAAGAATACTGCTTTTCAAATAATGATACAATGAGCAACGTTTATCTTTGTATAGATCAAGGCAGAAATGTTGGATCTATAAAAATCTCATTATTTAAAACTGCAGGATATTCTATCATCAACCAACTAGAAATGAACCATTTCTTTTCTATTTCCACATAATTACCAACCAGTCATTCCATTATGAAAACCCCAGATTAAACCATCAGCATCCCCTCTGGCTCGCCCAGTTTGAATCTCAGTACCCGAGATTTAAGTAGATAGTGCAGATATCTGACACGAGCTGCTGGGGTTTGAAGTCAAATTCACTGAAGTCCTTGACTTTCAAGGCCCCCATTTTGGGGCCAACCAGGTGCTGCAGGAAGTAGTTCAGCATGGAGATGATGCGCTCGGCCAGGAAAGGGTGCACGAAGAGTGATCTGATCTCTGGAAAAAGGGCAGACTGTGAAAACCCAACCCGTTAGCAACCTTTTACGTGTCTTAGAGTTCTGCTTGGAGACCTCTGGAGACCACTGCTTTTAAAGGTTACGTAAGTAATACATTTACATGGCAGTAATATTAGAACACACAGACAAGCAAAAGCAAACAAATAAAATATAAAAACTACCACCTAGAAATAAACACCGTTAACATCTTGCTCATACAGGTGACCCTTGAACAATACAGATTTGAACTGCATGGGTCCACTTATATGCAGATTTTTTTTCAATAAATACTGTAAATGCCGTGGCCGGTTTTGCTCAGCAGTTATAGCGTCGGTCTGCAGTCCAGAGAGACCCGGGTTCAGTTCCTGCTAAGGGCATGTACCTCGGTTGCAGTTTGTCCCCGGCTCTGGTTGGGTCGTGTGGGTGGCAGCCACTCGATGTGTCCCTTTCACGTCGATGTTTCTCTCTCTCTCTCTCCTTCCCACTCTATCTGAACAAAAAATGGAAAAATGTCCTTGGGTGGGTGAGGATAAAAAAAACAAAAACAATTGTAAATGCATTTTTCTCTTCCTTATGATTTTCTTAACACTTTTTCTCTAGCTTACTTTATTCTAAGAACACATATAACTTACATATATGTGCTAGTCAACTCTGTATTATCAGTAAGGCTTGCAGTTAATAGTAGGTCATTCGTAGTTAACTTCTGGGGAGTCAAAAGTTCTACATCTGTTTTCAACTGCGTGGGTGTGGAGGTCAGTGTCACTAACCCCTTCGTTGTACAAGGGTCAACTATATATATATACAACCTTTTTTGGGTTTTTTGTTTGCTTATTTTCGGAGAACCTATCACTAAGTCTTTCTAAAACTCTCCACCAGAAATATAAAACTCTCAATAGATAGTTTTTAGCAGTTCTGCACTTGGGGAAATGTTCTTTCTGGAAGCTTCCATTTGTCACCCCAATCTGGATTCCTCGCTCTATAGGCCCGCTGCATGGCCGTCATACAAGCTCCTTCTACTACCACCCTGGCAATTTCCTTTTTGTCTCATGGGATTCCACCTTCTTCCTCCTAGGTTTACTCCTTCATTTTTCTTTAATATGTTTTTACTGATTTTTTAGGGAGAGGGGAAGGGGGAGGGAGATAGAAACATCCATGTGAGAGAGAAACATCCATTGGCTGCCTCCTGCACGCCCCCTCCTGGGGATCGAGCTCACAACCTGGGCATGTGTCCTGACCAGGAATCAAACCGGGACCTCTCAGTCCATGGGACAACATTCAATCCATTGAGCCACACTGGCTGGGTTTATTCCCTCATTTTGATAGAGTATATCTTTTGTAGTTTTTCAAGAAAGGGTATACTGAAAGTAAATTTGATGCCTTCATGCATGAAAATGTCCTTACATTTTACTCTCTTAACAGAACTGATAGTTTGTCTGCCTATAGGATCCTAGGCTGGAAAAATATTTCCCATCAGGCATGTGTTCCAGCTTCCAATGTCAAAGACATTTTGACACTTAACTACTGCCTATGACCTGATCTTCTCTCTGGGACCTCTTAGGGTCGTTTTTTTACCCTGATTTTCTGAAATGTCACAATGGTGTATCTTAGTGTGGGGTTTAAAAACTTCCGTGTGCACACTTGGTCGTTCCTTTCAATTTAGAGGCTTTTACTCTTTCCTATTATTTCTTTGATAATGTCTCCCTTCCAATTTTCTCTCTTGAGACTTCCTAGATCCTTTGTCTTCTTATCCTTCTTATTTCTATCTCTTTCTGTTCTGCTTTCTTTTGAATTTATTTTAAATACATTTTTATTTTTCAATTATAGTTGACATACAGTTTCAGGTGTACATCCCAGTGATTAGACATTATATAACTAAGTGGTCATCCTGATAAATCTTGTACCTATCTGACACCACGCAGTTATAAGGATACTGACTAGACTCTCTGTGCTATACTTTACATCCTCCAGGCTATTATGTTACTACCGGTTTGTACTTCTTTAAAAAAAAAATGTTTTTATTGATTTTTTTAGAGAGAGAGGGAGAAACATTGATGTGAGAGAAACATGGATCAGCTTCCTCCTGCACGCCCCCTACTGGGGACTGAGCCCACAACCTGGGCATGTGCCCTGACTGGGGGTCAAATCTAGACCTCCCAGTCCATGGGAAGATGCTCAACCCACTGAGTCACACTGGCAGGGCCAATTTGTACTTCTTAATCTTTCTCCTTTTTCACCCAACCCCCTTCTCACCTGGCAACCATCAAAATGTTCTCTGTATCTATGAATCTGTATCTGTTCTGTTTATTAATTTATTTTGTTTTTTAGATTTAATTGTTGACAGATATGTACTTATTGCCATTTTATTGTTCATATTTTAAATATTTTTTCTTTTTCTTAAAGAAGACCCATTAACATTTCATGTGATACTGGTTTGGTGGTGATGAGCTGCAGCTTTTTCTTGTCTGGGAAGTTTTTCACACGTCCTTTGATTCTACATGACAGTTCTGCTGGGTAATTTTGGTTGTTGGTCTTTGCTTTTTATCACTTTGAATATTTCTTGCCAATCCCTCTGGCCTGCAAAATTTCTGTTAAGAAATCAGCTGACAGTCTTATTAGAGCTTCCTTATAGGTAATTAAATGCTTTTCTCTTGCTGCTTTTAAGATTCTCTTTGTCTTTATTTAACCTTTTGCATTTTATTTTTTTATATATATATATATTTTTTATCCTCACCTGAGGACATTTTTTGCATTTATCTTCAGATAGAGCGGGAGGGATAAAGGAAGAGAGAGAAACATCGAGGTGAGACAGACACATCGAGTGGTTGCCACCCACAAGACCCCAACTGGGGCCAGGGACAAACTGCAATCGAGGTACGTGCCCTTAGCGGGAACCAAACTAGGAACTATCTGGTCCGCGGGCCGACGCTCTAACCGCTGAGACAAACTGGTCAGGGCTAACCTTTTGCATTTTAATTATGATGTGTCTTGGTGTGAGCATCTTTGGGTTCATCTTGTTTGGGACTCTCTATGCTTCCTGGACTTGTATATCTATTTCCTTCACCAGGTTAGGGAAGTTTTCTGTCATTATTTTTTAAAATAGGTTTTCAATTTCTTGCTCTCTCTCTCTTCTCCTTCTGGCACCCCCATGATGTGAATGTTGGTATGTCCCAGAGGCTCCTTAAACTATCCTCATTTTTTAAAATTCTTTTTTCTTTTTGCTGTTCTGATTGGGTGTTTTTGCTTTCTTATATTCCAAATCACTGTTTTGATTTTTGGCTTCATCTACTCTACTATTGATTTCCTGTAATGCTTTTTTTTTTTTTCTGATATGTGCCCCTTGTGGGAACTGAACCTGGGACTCTCTGGTCTACAGGCCGACACTCCAACCGCTGAGCCAAACTGGCCAGGGCTGTAATATAGTCTTTATTTTTAGTTTTAAAAATCTTTTAGGCAGAATAGATATCTTTTTTTTTAGAGAGAGAGGGAGAGGGAGAAAGATAGAAACATCAATGAAATAGAACATCGATTGGCTGTCTCCTGCACAGCCCCCGCTGGGGATTAGGCCCACAACCCGGGCATGTGCCCTGACCAGGAATCAAACTGGCGACTCCTTGGTGCATGGGTCGATGCTCAACCAGTAAGCCATACCGGCTGGGCCTGTAATGTATTCTTTTCTTTTTTGGTGGTATGTGCCCCTAGCGGGAACTGAACCCAGGACTCTCTGGTCCACAGGCCGATGCTCAACCACTGAGCCAAACTGGCCAGGGTGCCTGTAATGTATTAATTTTAGTTAGTGTATCCTTCATTTCTGACTGGTTCTTTTTTTATGGTTTCAGTGTCCTTTCTTATCCTGTTGAAGTTCTAAGTTCATCTATTCTTCTGATTTAATTGAGCATCCTTATAATCAGTGTTTTGAACTCAGCATCTGGTAGATTGCTTGTCGCCATTTCGCTTAGTTCTTTTTCTGGAGTTTTGTTCTGTTCTTTCATTTGGGACATGCTTCTTTGTCTCCTCATTTTGGCTGTCTCCCTGGGTTTGCTTTCACTATTAGGTAGAGCTGCTCCATCTCCTAGGCTTGAGTGGCCTCATGCAGTAGGTGTCTTGTAGAGTCCAGTGGAACAGGCTCCCTGGTCACCTGATCTGGGCACTACAGGTGTGCCCCTATGAGGGCTGTGTACACCTTCCTGTTGTAGTTGAGCCTTAATCGCTGTTGGCATGTCGTTGGGAGGGACTGACTCAGGATGACTGGCTGCAAACACTGTGCAGGATTAGCTGTGCAGTGGCCCAGCCCATGGAGCAGGACTTACTTTGTGGGGTTCTGATGCCCACCGAGTCTGCCCCTTCAGTGTGACACTTGTGGAGGTGGGTGGGTGATGCTTCGATGTGATCTGAAGCTGTCTGCCAAATGCGTGGGCTCTGGGGCCTGCCAGGAAGTACAGGCCAGGTCAGCCACTGCCTGTGTACTGCCCAGGACCACACGCTACAAGTACAGAGCTATCTGCAGATGGTCGCTACTTGTGCTGTGCTTGGCGGTGCCCAGGAAAGGCCAAGCTGTGAATCAAGGCTGGTTGCTGCTAGTGCCAGGCCTGGGGCCACTTATCGAGAGGCATGGGGCACACTGAGGCCAGATGCTGCTTGTTTTGAGAGACTTTAGGAAAAATGAAGGCCATCTGTATGGAACAGCCACTGGAAACGGCCTGGATCGACCTGCAAGTTGGATGGGGTAGGGTCTCGGAATCACCAGTGTGGGGCAAGCAGTGACAACCAGGTGATTTAGACTCAGATATGGCTGGGCCTGCTCTGTGAGGGGAGGCTCAGCAAAGGACAGTGGCCTCTGCCAGCCCTCTGTCTGGGAGAGAGCTGCCCTCCAGCTCCTGCCCTGATGCCAGACAGTTCAGTTCCTCCCTGTGTGTCCCTGTGCCTTTCGAGCTGCCTGGATTCAGAAGGGAGTGAGTCTGAGCAAGTTATGCACAGGCCCTTTAAGAGGAACTGCCTGGGACTCCAGAAGCCTCCATCTCATTCAGCCACAGACCTTGCTGGTTTTTATAGCCAGAAGTGATGGGGACTTCTCTGTCCGGCTCTGGAACCCTGGGCTAGGGGGCCTGGTGTGGGGCTGGGACCCCTTGCCCCTCAGGGGGCAATCTCTGCAGCCGAGATATCCCTCCCGATTTTTTTTGAAGATTTTAAAAAAATAGATTTCTAGAGAGCAGAAGGGGAGTGAGAGAGAAAAATCGATGTGAAAGTGAAACATCGATCGACTGCCTCTGGCATGTGCCCTGGCCGGGAATAGAACCAGCAACTTTTCAGTGCGTGGGGCTGCAACCCAGCCAGCAGAACCACACTGGCCAGGGCTCCCTCCTGATACGTTACAAAATGGTTTTTGTTTTTTAATTGATTTTTAGGGAGAGAAAGGAAGGAAGGGGGAGAGACAGAAAGAGGGAAGGAGGGAGGGAGGGAGGGAGAGGGAGAGGGAGGGGAGGGGGAGAGAGAGAGGGAGAGGAGGGAGAGAGAGAGAGAGAGAGTTTCTATGTGAGAGAAACATCATCGATTGGCTACCTCCCATATGCACTTGGACCAGGGACTGAGCCCACAACCTGGGTGTGTGCCCTGACCAGGAACTGAACCAGACACCTTTGGTGCATGGGATGATGCCCAAGCAACTGAGCCACACCAGCCAGGGCTCCCTCCGGATTTTTATCTGCACATGTAGGTGTAAGACCAGCCTGTTCAGTGTCTCCACCCCTCCTACCAGTCTTGATGTGGCTTCTTTAAATTCTTGACTTCCATTCAGCTAGATTTCAGGTGGTTCTCAATGATGGTTGTTCTGTAGTTTAGTTTTTGGTTTTTTGTAATTCTCACTTGAGGATATTTTTCCATTTATTTTTTTACATATAGTGGAAGGGAGGGAGGAAGGGAGGGAGGGAGGGAGAGAGAGAGAAACATTGATGTAAGAGAAACACATCGATTGGTTGCTTCCCGCATGACCTCGACCAAGGAGGGGGATCAAACCTGCAACCCAGGTATGTGCCCTTGACCTGGAATTGAACCTGCGACCCTTTGGTCCATGGGCTGACACTCTAACTAGCCAGGGCTGTAGTTTGGTTTTAATTCTGATGTGGTTGTGGGAAGATCTGGGTCATTTCTGTTCTGCTTTCATGGAAGTGTTCCTTGAATTTATCTTTGACCCTTCCACTGATATGCTGCCTTTTCTCTTACCCCTCTGAGATTATAAAGATTTTTAGAAAAGTTTTCATGTTCTGCCCTGGCCAGTGGGGCTCAGTTGGTTAGAGCCTTGTCCTGTGCACCAAAAGGTTGCTGGTTCAATTCCCAGTTAAGGGCATGTGCCCAGGTTGCAGGCTTCATCCCTGGTGGGGGGCGTGAGACCGCTGACCGATGTTTGCCTCTCACATCGAGTGTTTCTCCCTTTCTCCTCCTGCTTCCTCTCTCTTTGAAAATCAATAAACTAAAAAAAAAAAAAAAAAAAAAAAAGTTCAGGTATTATGTGTTTTAGGTTAGAAAGATTTCCTCAAATGTCCGGTGATCCTTGGCTGTCATTTTGTGTATAATCAATATACAAGTTATTAATAAACATTTCGTTGTTAACACTAAGTCTTGCAGGGTGTATGTATTTACGGCACCACTCAATTCAGACTAGCCACATTTTACATGCTTACAGCCCAATGTGTGTGGCCAGTGGCTACTGCATTGGACAGTGTAGCCCTAGAGGCGGCGGAGATAGATGTCTGTCTGATCCATCACATTTAACGAGAGTTCAAGAATATTTTTCAGTTTAATAAGCCTCCTCTCCACCCCTGATAGAGTTATCTGGATAATTTGTCCTCAGGAAAAATCCCACCCATCTATGCTCTTTGGCAGCTCTGAGAGGCGGCATTTCCTCATCACCATTTCTACTGGAGCCTCTCTAGCAACTCACTTCTCTCTCGTGTGGAGGATTCCGTCCTCAGTCTGCATTCCTCGTTCCAGCCGGGCTGATCTCAGACGAGCACCCACCACTGCCTGTCCCGGCCGGGCTGGTCTCAGACAAGCACCCACCACTGCCTGTCCCGGCCGGGCTGATCTCAGACGAGCACCTACCACTGCCTGTCCCGGCCGGGCTGATCTCAGACGGAGCACCTACCACTGCCTGTCCCGGCCGGGCTGATCTCAGACGGAGCACCTACCACTGCCTGTCCCGGCCGGGCTGATCTCAGACGGAGCACCTACCACTGCCTGTCCCGGCCGGGCTGATCTCAGACGGAGCACCTACCACTGCCTGTCCCGGCCGGGCTGATCTCAGACGGAGCACCTACCACTGCCTGTCCCGGCCGGGCTGGTCTCAGACGAGCACCTACCACTGCCTGTCCCGGCCGGGCTGATCTTAGACGGAGCACCTACCACTGCCTGTCCCGGCCGGGCTGATCTCAGACGGAGCATCTACCACTGCCTGTCCCGGCCGGGCTGATCTTAGACGGAGCACCTACCACTGCCTGTCCCGGCCGGGCTGATCTCAGACGAGCACCTACCACTGCCTGTCCCGGCCGGGCTGATCTCAGATGGAGCACCTACCACTGCCTGTCCCGGCCGGGCTGATCTTAGACGGAGCACCCACCACTGCCTGTCCCGGCCGGGCTGATCTCAGACGGAGAACCTACCACTGCCTGTCCCGGCCGGGCTGATCTTAGACGGAGCACCCACCACTGCCTGTCCCGGCCGGGCTGATCTCAGACGAGCACCTACCACTGCCTGTCCCGGCCGGGCTGATCTCAGATGGAGCACCTACCACTGCCTGTCCCGGCCGGGCTGATCTTAGACGGAGAACCTACCACTGCCTGTCCCGGCCGGGCTGATCTTAGACGGAGCACCCACCACTGCCTGTCCCGGCCGGGCTGATCTCAGACGAGCACCTACCACTGCCTGTTTCGGGGAAGCTGTGCTGCGTCCTTACCTGACGTCAGAAAGGCGAGCGTGCCGATGGTCTCGTTGGACATGATGTTATGGAAACGGGCCAGCTGTCCGAACATCTGCAGGCCAGCTTCCTTTTCTCGACGGGCTTCCGGAGTCAGACTGTCCCACTCGCCTCGGTCCTTCTCAATCTGCTGGATCTTTATCTTGCTCAGATACTACGGAAACCAGAGGTGGAACGTGTCAGAGAGACAGCGCAGTTGAAGGGAAGGTCATATTTAAGAGGTCCTATTTAAAGTCTAGTCCCCTGTGCTGGGCAAACCAGGCGTTACCACAAGAGACATGAGGTTTTATTTCTCGGCCTAGGGCTGAAGCTAAAAAATGTACTTTAGGAAAAAAGAAAAAAAAAAGAAGAATTGTGGCTCCATATAGTTTTGTTTGGGGCTAGGCAGACTTATTGGTAACTCCCCTAGAAATATTAGTGTGTGAAACAGAAAGGAAGGTACAGGAAATCCAGGAGAAAACAGGCTACAGTTTAAAAAAAAGATGAATCCTTCTTGAAAGATGGAAAAAAAAGTCCCCCAAGTTGTTTATGAACACCCAAAGCCCTGCCAGACACGCCGCTGTCTGGAAGGAGAAGCTCGCGACCCTCCCCTCGCTGCTGCGCGACGCGTGGGAGCCACAGGCCCTCGAAGTGCCGCCTGCGCCAGTCTGGTCGCCGCTCTTGCTGAGAAGGTGTTTACTACACGGCTTGTTTTGTTTTCTAAGAAAATCCATCTGAAAGCTTCAGGATTATGAAAAAAGCAGGAAAACGATCTCACAAATGAAACACAAGTTGCGGGGAGACTGCTCATCAATACGAGGAGCTCACGGCTGCCCAGTGGGCTGCCTTCACGATCTCCCGCTCCGCGCCCGCTGGGTCATGCCCACCAGCACCGCTTCCACACGAGCAGCAGGCGGCTGCAGAGCAGGGCAAAGGCCCGCTACGGTGCTGAGAGGCGCCCGCTGGGCCATGCCCACCAGCACCGCTTCCACACGAGCAGCAGGCGGCTGCAGAGCACGGCAAAGGCCCGCTACGGTGCTGAGAGGCGCCCGCTGGGCCATGCCCACCAACACCGCTTCCACACGAGCAGCAGGCGGCTGCAGAGCACGGCAAAGGCCCGCTACGGTGCTGAGGGGTGCCCGCTGGGCCATGCCCACCAGCACCGCTTCCACACGAGCAGCAGGCGGCTGCAGAGCACGGCAAAGGCCCGCTACGGTGCTGAGGGGTGCCCGCTGGGCCATGCCCACCAGCACCGCTTCCACACGAGCAGCCGGCGGCTGCAGAGCAGGGCAAAGGCCCGCTACGGTGCTGAGGGGTGCCCGCTGGGCCATGCCCACCAACACCGCTTCCACACGAGCAGCAGGCGGCTGCAGAGCACGGCAAAGGCCCGCTACGGTGCTGAGGGGCGCCCGCTGGGCCATGCCCACCAGCACCGCTTCCACACGAGCAGCAGGCGGCTGCAGAGCACGGCAAAGGCCCGCTACGGTGCTGAGGGGCGCCCGCTGTGCACCTGCGCAACTCGTGTTCCCACAGCTGAGGCTCTGGACGGCCGTGGAGAGATGAAGAGGGTCGATGACCTGGTCTTTATAGGAAAAATATCCCAAACTAGTTTTTTTTCCAGCAGTGGTGTACAAATGAGAATCTTTTAGAAGAGAGGGGTAAGAATCATTGCCTTGTCCGGCCAATGTGGCTCGTGGCTGCTCATCAACCCTGCACCAAGAGGTCGCCGGTTTGATTCCCGGTCAGGGCACATGCCTAGGTCGTAGGCCTGATCCCCAGTAGGGGTGTGCAGGAGGCGGCCGATCAATGTTCTCTCCCATCGATGTTTCTATTTCTCTTTCCCTCTCCCTCTAAAATCAATAAAGGAAAAAAAATCATCATTGCCCTATGAGCCACTTTACTGATATGTTGGGCTGGAAAGGCTGGAAATGAGCCACCGAATGGACGCACGATCCTGGTCCCTTGCGCAGTTCTGGCCTAATCAGTCTGCTGCGGTCCCGCCTCTGCCAAAGCACCTCCTCGCCTGAGGCTTCCCTGAGCCTTGGTCTCGGCTCTGATGGACAGCACTTCTCAAGCCTGTGTGGCGAGGCGGCAGCACACGACCACTGCAGGTCTGGGGCCTCAGGCTGCTCTATTGTGACTAAAGGGTCAAGAGTATGTGCTGGTCATGATTTGATGGCATAGGAACAGCAAATCTGTTTTGTTTTGTTTTTTACCTGTATGGCTTCATCCAGAAGGAAGATGGCATCGTTCATTAGCAGGTTTAGAAAGCGGAGAAAAAGTGGGGGATTCATGGCTTCTAAATTCTTAGAGGCATAGTCAGCCAAATCCTGTAAGTCCCAGGCCAGAGAAAACTGTTTAGTACTGAACCACAGCTCACTGGGCGTATCTGAAGCAAAACTCAGACTACTCAGTTTGGTTTCACCGAAAAGCCTCTCACCTTGATGCTCTCTCGATAGGCATCTGTCCCCCACATGTACCTTAGAATGGGGTACATGGGACGGCGGTAATTAAACTTCTGTTCAAACTGATGGGGGTCTCCTGGAGTAAGGGAAGAGCAGAAACACCAAACCAACAGCAAAGATGGCCCATTAGAGACAGAGCAGGGCTCCCGCCCACGCGGAGCCACTTCCCTTTATTCTGAACATGTCAAGGGCACTGAGTCTATAAAGGTCTAGCGCTGCGGCCAGGTGTTTGGTCGTGTCCTTCCCGACAGAACAGGGAAGGACCAGGCCGGACAAGAAAGCCAAGGGACAAATGTTTCTACCCCAAACGGACAGCACTTGTCAGACTCTGAACAGGCCTCTGGGCTGCACAGTGTCAGGGACAGCTAGTGGACGGGAAAGGAACTGTCCCCATTCTTCACAGTGACGTGCCAGTGTGCTGCCAGCTGGTCGTCGGTCACTCTGGACAGTCAGGCCGGGAGCTAAATGTCTGAGGCCTGCATTGCTTTGACGCACCCAAGGTCCCGGGGAGCACCGCAGGCTGGGTTGTATGACGACAAGCATGGGCTGTGGAGTCGGAAGACCGAGGGCTCCTCCTGCTCCACGTGATGCGTCTCCTTACCTTGCCAACTCCCACTCCCTCAGAGGGAGACAGGAGTTATAATACATCCTCCATGACCACCAGAGGGCTGTAATGGTCTTATAACGACATGACTGCAGCAACTTATTGGTCAACTTCTCATGTATCATGAAGATTTACACGTACTATCTCTCATCACTTCAACCCATTTAACAGATGAGGAAACCAAGGCTCAGGTGAGCAAGTGACAAAGTCAAACTACAAATATGGAAAGGCAGTCAATAAACTGTTAATGTCTCTCTATAAAGAATCGTCTAACAACTATGCTGTACACCTGAAACTAATGCAAAATAATATTGAATGTAAACTGTAATTGAAAAATAAAATTGAAAAATAAAATTTATCACTGGCTAGTGGGACATCTCCTTTGAAAGGAGTCTAGCCCTGGTTGGTATGACACGGTTGGAGCGCCGTCCCATACACCGAAAAGTCTTGGATTCGATCCCTAGTCAGAGCACATACCTAGGTTGTGGGTTCAGTCCCTGGTTCAGGTACGTGCAAGAGGCAACCAATTGAAGTTTCTCTCTCACATCAGTGTTTCTTTTTCTCCCTCTCTCTGAAATAAAAAAATCTATCTTCAGGTGAAGATTAAAAAAATAATACAAATTAAAAGGGTCTTAAATAACTGCTTAACATCCTGTTTACTGGTTGAGATGGAGAACTGTTTACTCAAACATAGCATCTCAGGGTTAGATCACAAAAGGCCAAGAAAGAAAGGGAATTTTTTTTTTTTTTAGTTAATCCTCACCTGAGGATATTTTTCCATTGATTTTTTTAGAGAGAGTGGAAGGGAGGGAGCAGAGGGGAGAGAGAGAGAGAAACACTGATGTAAGACATATTGATTGGTAGCCTCCCACATGGCCCCAAGGGCCAGGGATTGAACTTGCAACCCCGGAACGTGCTCTTGACTGGGAATTGAACCCAAGACCCTTTGGTTCTTGGGTTGCTGCTGTAACTGCTGAGCCAAACTGGCCAGGGCACCTGCTGTTATTCTTAGTTGAACTAGACTGTTAGAGTTAGACAGTCGGGATAAAAGATTATCTCGACCAGCATACTGTCTCATTATCCACTATTCTGCAATTTTGAGGCAAAGAAAATAAGGACTCAGGTTTTTCTTGTGTTTTTTCTTTATCCTCACCCGAGGACACTTTTGCATTTACCTTCAGACAGAGCAGGAGGGAGAGAGGGGGGAAGAGAGAGAGAAACATAGACGTGAGAGAGATCCATTGAGTGGTCGCCACCCACACAATCCCAACCGGGGCCAGGGACAAACTGCAACTGATGTACCCTTAGCGGGAACTGAACCCAGGACTCTCTGGTCTGTGGGCCGATGCTCTAACCGCTGAGCCAAACTGGCCAGGGCAAGACTCAGGTTTTAATTGGACAACCTAATCTGCTTGAGTATGATTTGATCAAGCAATACAATAAAGTTGATAAGAGTATGTGGGGTTTTTTTAGGTCAGGCGACACAGACCTGAGTCGACCACTTAGCTGTAGGACAAACCATCTCATCTTTTTGAGGATCCATGTCCTTGTATGTAAAATGACGACAGTAAGTAAAACTTTCCAGGTGACAAGCTAATGAGACAATGTGAACACAAGCACTTAGCACCAAGGTGGCACAGGGTAGGAATCCAACACATGACGGCCGATGACATCTTTCTGAGGTCGGAGCCTGGACCAGCTGTGTCACTGCCATGGACCAGCTCTGCAGCCCTGCACTGCTTTACCTGTGAACTCAATGTCCACGAACACCTTGATCAGAGCCTCTGCCAGGCGTGGTGCATACGGATAGCTGCAGAACACACGCTTCCGGTGGAACACGCTGGATACCAGAGGACTCGGGGTCTGATCCAGGTGGGGCATCACTGCTTCCAACACCTCGGCCAGTTTGGCCCTCAGGTGGGGATTCTTCATCCTGCAAACGGCAGAAAGCAAACTGAGCTGGTAGACTTGTTTTCTTTCAATATTTTCTTTTCTTTATTTGATGGTGACAATAAAGACTACAGTTTAGTGCTTGACCCTGAAGCTAACGGTGACCCTTCCATCCAGGCAGAGTAACTGAAGACAGACACGAATCTGTAAAGAAGCCCGGGACACGGGCGTGAGCCTGGCCGCTGCAAGCTGGGACGCACTCCTGTACTGCCGGGCGGCCAGCCAGAACCACCGCCTGCTTTCCTTGGACTGGGCCGCAGCGTCTTTTCTGATCATCTTGTCAACAGTTGCATGCCACTGTGTCTGCTCCAATAGAAAAAAAGCAGCCCATAATAAAATCACATTTTCCAGAAGTATACGTGATATTCAGAACCATTGACTGCTTTTCCTCTGTCTTGTCCTTCATTGTGTAGGAGCTCCCGTCTTCTGTTTCTTTTATGCCAGATAAGGGCAGTTTGAAAACTATTTCATCATCTTCATCATCATTTATCTCAGCCACTTCAGATTTTCATTTCTCCAAAAATACTGGTGTACACATGGGTACAGGGCTACCCAGTCTCTCAGGAGTGCTGGGAGCAACAGGAACCTTTTTCCCTTAGGTACAGTGGCTTGGCCAGGCCGACAAGGACACGTGCCGAAAGCGTCCGAGCCAAGGAGTCAAATCGGCATGGCTCTTCTCTCCCCGGGGCCGAAACGTCCCGGACCAGCCAGCACTGCGGCGAGCAAAACTGCACCTGCGGTGTGAGGTCGGTCAGTTTCTGGGGATGATGCAGGGTTACCATCCAACTTTTGAGGTCACAGCTTACCGACTGCGAGGGTGAGCACTTAGGTTTGCGTTCAGGATCTGGCCATTCTGTGTACTTCTCTGTGACAATGCATTCTTTACTGCTCGCCATTTCCGGACTGCCTCCTCTGGGATGAACGTGCCCTTCCGAGCTTTCTGAGAGCAGGGGGGGACAACGACCCCACGCCACTCACAGCGCCACGCGTGCCTGGCAAAGTGCTGACTTGTGTCTTCTCAGTAGATCTGCTCAGTTAGGGGGAGGACTGGCCTTTTCCTACTTCTCGTGACATGGCTTCAGGGACGGTGGACCATTCTCTCCTCTGTGTAGCGAATCTTCATTTAAGTACACAGTGTTTGTTTCCTTTGGCCTAGGCACCAGGAACATCAGAGAAGCATCTCTGTAGGTTAGTGAGCATCTTTGGGAAAGAGAACTAGAAGCTATGAACGAGGAAGACTTGAAATCAGAAAGCGTTCACCTAAGTTTACTGCTCATCCAACTTGGGATTTCAAGAGCAAACTGTATCATGTGATTACTGAAAGGTCACTGGCACCTGGCTGGCACTGGTAAGGGTTCTGCACTAACCAGGGGCGAGCAGCAGAGCTCCTATCAGGCGCCTTATGTGCAAATTCAAATTCTCTGTGGGCAAAGTCCTCTGCCCCTCAAGAGTGGGGCTTTTTGGCTACCCATAAAGATGGGTCAGGTGACCGATTAATGCTAAACAACTTCCGAAGGCAGCGCTGAGTCAGCCTGCTCACTGCTCGGCTAGAGACCTTCCGAAGACAGCGCTGAGTCAGCCTGCTCGCTGCTCGGCTAGAGGCCTTCCGAAGGCAGCGCTGAGTCAGCCTGCTCACTGCTCGGCTAGAGGCCTTCCGAAGGCAGCGCTGAGTCAGCCTGCTCGCTGCTCGGCTAGAGGCCTTCCGAAGGCAGCGCTGAGTCAGCCTGCTCGCTGCTCGGCTAGAGGCCTTCCGAGGTTCTGCAGCTCTGAGCAGTGCGGCTGAGCTTCCATCGTTTACCTTTCTACGCTTCCAGTGAAGACGGTGATGAAGTGAAGGACATGTTCCAGGGAGTCTGCTGATGTCTCTAGGATGTCATCAGCAAAGCGGCGGAGAAAGATGAGGAAATCACCCAGGTTATCTGCAAAAAATTCTGGAAAAAAAATTTTTTTTCCCCATTGGAACTGAGCAGACGTCTGACTCCATACACACAAGCTCTACACTGCACTTAAGGAAGGCTAACAAAACCACGTCTTGTAGTCCCTAGGAATGGTGGCAAGCTAGGAAATGCAGAATCTCCTGAAATGTGTTCATTCTTATTTTTATCCAAGTAAGTATGAGAGCAGCAGAGACACAAGACTACTGTCAGCACACGCCGGTGCCGTAAGAAAGTATGCTGACTTTCGACACTCACGGCCAACTGTGCATCGAACAACCCCTCAGATGTGTGAAGAACCTTGAATGAAGTTCACTAGGTGGCTGTGGTCCCCCATCTCCAGGACGGTCTCACCTCCTAGTACTCATGCCCTTGGTTGTCACACCCCACACTCTCCCAGGGTAGGAGGTACACCCTGAGGCACACACAGGTGATGGCATGTCACGTCCATGATGACGCTATAAAAGCCAACAGCTTCCACTTGGTCGCTTGCTCTGGGGGAAGCCAGCTGCGGCAGCAGGAGCAGTACTAAGGAGAGGCCTGTGTGGCCCAGACAAGAGGCCAGCAAGCACCAGAGGTCTGCCAACAACCACATGACTACGTCTGTGAGCAGCCCCTTCAGCCCCTTCAGATCCTGTGGCCGTGGTTGACAGCTTGGCTAAAACCTCATGCGACCCCGGGTCAGAACCATGCAGCTAAGCTGCCCCTGGATTCCTGACACACAGAACTGTGTGGAATGACGTCTGCTGTCTTAAAGTCTCCATGTTTCGGGGTAACTCGTTACTCTGCAATAGATGAACACTGCAGTGATCAAGAACATACGATGGATAATGCCGGTCAACCGCTCACGTCATACTCACACATACAACCTGCTTCCTCAGTTAACCAACAGGAGGACCCCCTAAAGCACAGCACAGGAGAGCCGGACAAATCTTCAAGCCAAACTACTGAAGATGGAGACCAAGAGCAATGAGAGCCTGACTGCCTCGGTGCTTGGGCTTTTCTGACACGCGCGCAGTGAGGACACAGGCTGAGGACAGGCTGGCAGCTCCCCCGTCCCCGGTGGACAGTCTCTGCAAGTCGAGGAATTTGCCCAGAGACAGTGCAAGGATAACTGAAGGGCATTCTGAGGACTGACCCGCCGAGGGACAGTTAAGCCCAGACGGCTACAAACAGGAGGTCCCAGGGAAAGCCTGCTTACCCGGCACGTAAGCCAAGGAGCTGCAGCTGTCTGGCAGAGGGAACGTCAGCTCGGCCAGCTGGGAGCCCTCGTTGCCGATGGCCAGCTGAACCAGGAGGACAGCCATGGACACCTGCAGGTTCAGGCAGTTCTGGAGCATCTGGGGCTCAGTCATGGCAGTCTTGGTGGAAAGATAGATGGTCATGAGTCGTTCGAACTGCTCACGCAGGTTGTCAGCAGCAGGGCTGGAGCTCTGCTGAGCATCCCGCCAGGCGACCTGCAGCCGGTGCAGATTCTGGTTGATTTTTACCATCTGATCATGCAACCTGCCCCCAAGAAAGCAGGAGAGACTGGGTCAGGGGGCTCATACAGGCACAGTCACATACAGACCACTCCAGAAATGAAAATCCTCATCTACTTATTCCGGTATCTCTTTGAGGGTGCAGGGAGCTGCTGCTGTGATGACACAGAAGGCACCCACGACCTTGCTGACAGGCAGGGGCAGAGCACTGGGGAAATGTCACTGAGCATTCAGCAGGACTGACGCAATTACAGTCCTTAGCAGCTTCCGAAGAACAGCAGCTGGTTCAGCAGGGCGTGGACTGGGCTGTTGTTTGTTTATTTACTTATTTTTAATCCTCACCCAAGGATAGTTTTCTATTTATCTTTAGATAGAGTGGGAGAGAGAAACATCGAGACGAGAGGGACACATGGACTGGTTGCCCCCCGCATGACCCGGACCAGGGCTGGGGCCGAACCACAACAGAGGTACGTGCCCTTGACCGGAATCCAACCCGCGACCCTTTGATGCATGGGCCAACACTGCCACTGAGTCACACTGGCCAGGGTGACGGGCTGTTATCTCAAATAGAAGCCCAGCAGGAGAGTGACCGCACGGGAGCAAGGACTGTACTTAGGCGTGGCTGGGAGACGCGGAGCTGGGGAGGAGGCATCCGCCGCCGCCGGCCACGCGCAGGTGAGTGGCGTGACAGCAGCGCCCAGCCTCCGCTGCTCAGCAGCAGGTTCTCACGAGGGGTCAGCCAAACGCTCTCGAAGGAAAGGAGGCCCTAATGCAACGTGACGAAGTTTTCTCCATGCGCACAGTCTGAAGTCATCCTCTTCGGCCCGCAGATAACGCGTGGGGCAGGGGGCCTGTCTTGGGAAACTAGACGCCACGCATTTGTGTGTGTGAATCTAGGTGGCTGAACAGGTCGAACACATGCTGAATTGTTCCCTATTATCTCATTTAAGACGTCAATGACAGGGATAGGAAAACTCTCTAATAAAGATATACTTTCATTTAATTTTTTGAGAATTTTTTTTTAGTAGGTGTTAGCTCTTTGTTTAGTTGTTTTGTTTTGTTATGTGCACCTAGCAGGAACCGAACCCGGGACTCTCTGGTCCGCAGGCTGATGCTCCAACTGCTGAGCCAAACCGGCCAGGGCGAAATTTGCTGTTGTGAACAGTGCTCTGTCACTTTAAGTATCCGGAGAAGGCAGTGAACACCGCTGTCCTCGGTCCTCCTTTCCAGACTACACCTGTGAGCGAGTCACCAGCTGCTCTCCTTATTGATATGCGCAGTCACAGCAGCCGGACCAGAGGGGACACATCTCAGAGTGATTCCAGCCAGCAGAACCAGAACCACATCTCAGAGTGATTCCAGCCAGAACCAGAACCACATCTCAGAGTGATTCCGGCCAGAACCAGAACCACTGTGGAAAGTGACACGCTCCCGTCGAGTTTCCACCTTCTGGACCCCGTCTCTGAGACACGGCTCCTGTGCCCTGCTGCCCTTACTGGAACCTTACGGACACTCCTGCTTCTGCCTCTGCTCGGCGCAGCGGTGCTGCCCTGACCCTCCAGAGCAGTGAGGAATGGAAACTCAGGAGCAGAGAGTGAAGCATTAAACGACAATTCCAGGTCTACAGGTGATAAGAGGAAGATGGCGATTTTAACATGTGCACGTTTAGAGAGAATGCTAGTGTATCTTCAATTTTAAAAGTTTAATAGGTCAATAATTAAAAATCAATTCAAGCCCTGGCCAGCGTGGCTCAGTGGGTAGAGTGTCAGCTTGAGCACTAGAGGGCTATGGGTTCAGTCCCCGGCCCTGGCTGGGGTCTATGCGGGAAGCAACCAATTGCCGTGTTTCTCACATCAGTGTTTCTCTCTCCCTCCCTCACTCCCTTCTACTCTCTCTAAAAATCAATGGAAAAATATCCTTGGCTGAGGATTATAAATAAATAAATAAATGGAAGTTACTTGGACAAAGCCAATTCATGTAAACACAAATAAATGCATATAACGTCCCTTTCCTACTAGAACCAATGTGAGACTTCAGGAGAAAGTGAGGTTGTTAAGACTAACTTTGAACTTTCTGGTTCAAACACACTGAATGGTTCTTTCCCGATGACGTCGGGAGTTACCTGTGAAATCCCAAGTACAAGGCGTAGGCTGTCAGGACGAGGTTCTCGGTTACAAGGTTGTAGCTCTGGGGAAACTTGGGCTCCCGCACAGCTGGGATCAGACAGGTTTCTTTGTCCAAACCTCGAAGAAGTTAGAAGGAAGAGTGAACGGCCTCGGGGCCCCTAACTCCACTTCCACTTCGACACTGCTACCAGTGATTTCTCCTTTCGTTGTTTCTTAGTGGTATCTTCTTAAAAACAAATCTTTTCACATTACTACTCCTCTGTCTAAAAACATCTTGGTTTCTCAGTCTACAGAAATGCAGTCAAATTTTTTTAGCTCAATTATGAAATCACCAAATATTAAACGGAATGACCAATCACTAGATTTTTCAGGTGCCAGACAATGGATCATTGTATTTATTTTGTTCTGTATTTAAAGTTATTTGCTTTTGGACATGTACTACTTCTATAACTAGAAAAGTTATAAAACTCGGAAGAAATACGTACACCGAAATTAAGCTGATTCACTCTGAGTGGTAGAATTATGAATGACTTACTTTCTTTTCGCTTCTCTGTAATGTTCCAGTTTTCTCTAATCTGGCCCCAGTCTTCCGCCCCACAAACTCATTTCCTGCCATCCCCCACCCCCCCCCCCCGCCTTGCGCAGCCAGGGCCCTTCTCCCCACCCCTCAGTCAAGCCCTGCACACTCTGCACCTGTGTCTGCTGTTCCCTCTGCACAAAGGGCCTCTTTTGGCCTCTGCCTGCTGGGCCCACCTCGGCTCTCAGCTCAGCTGTGAAGACCTCCCGCTCTGTAGGGTGTCTCGCTCCTTCCTGTGCCCCACAGCTCGGCCCTACGCCTATTAGGATGACCCACCCGTTCACTTATCTGCCTCCTTCTGCATTTCTGAATTCATGAGGGACAGGGACTAGGCTTTATTCATTTTTAAAAGAAGTGATGAATGAATACCCAAGGCTGCCAAATTCAGAGGGAAGGTCTCACTGAAGTTCAACATCTAAAATCTACCCGTTATATATCTGAGAGTCTGTCCTTGGAACATCTGTACAGCTCTCTGCTGCCTCTTCTTTAAGAGGCACCTTTGTGAGAAAGGATAAGGATGTGAGGGCTTCCCTGTCATTCACACTAACACACACATGTGCACGCACACACTCATATGCGGACACACTCAAGCACACACACGTGTGCACATTCACACTCATGCAGACACACATGCAGACACTTGCGCGCTCACACTCACATGCACTTGCGCGCTCACACTCATGCACGCACGCACACTCACTTGCACACACACTTGCGCGCGCACACACACACAGAGTTTTGGGAAGCCCAGCACTCCCCTACCTCTCATGTGCACATTTTTAATTTTCCGTTCTTCATCATCCAGCTCCTTCAGAGCACAGTAGGTGGGATTGAAGGTGAGGAGCCGAGAGGATCTGGGTTTGCAAAAGGGCTGGCACAGCTTCAGGAGAGCAGCACCCAGGTTCAGAAAGAAGGCATCCGAGGCATACATTTGGAAGAAGATTTCTGGCATCTGATTGGCCCAGATCTTGGTGCGGCCTGCATTCGCATGCAAACAGTTTCCAAGCCAGGACAAGATACAGTGTTTGGTTTCTGGAGAGAGCTGGAGTAAGTTCTTCAGCATCTGGTAGATCTTTTCATGGAACTGAGCCATGAACTGTTTAACCAGAAAACATAACCACAGAACATTCCAGTTTCACAATCCTAATATTTGCTATTCCCAAAACTCAGCCATTGCAATTTCTAGAATATGCCAATCCTGATCGCCTTCCTAACTCTCCCTGGGCCTTATTCCCCAGTTCTAATTTAAAACATTGTCTGGGCCCTTAAGAGAGATTCCCTGATGAGCCGCCAAATTGCCCAGAGCATTTTCATAGCTTGAGAGAAGGGTGGGTGCCCTCTTTCTGCAAGGGGTCAAATGACAAATATTTCTGGCTCTGCATGCCACACGGTCTCTGTGCAGCTCCCCGCCGCTGCCGCTGTGGCAGGGAAGCAGGCACGAGCACACCTACACGAACGGGCGTGGCTGCGCTCCAGCGAGCTGTACAGAACAGGTGGCAGGCTTGAGAGAGCTGTGATCATGGGAGAGAGACACTGCCCCCAATTCAACCACTTACTGTTTCATGTTGGCCAGACTTCTATAATTTATGCTAAGAAGCCCAAACAGAGAGGACATAGGAAGGAAGGACAGGAAAAAAATTAGTTTACAGGCTGGAATTCAGGCAGATTTAGGAGCTTAAGGTGTAAGAGAGAGGGGTGGTGAGGAAAACAAGGGCTGAGAGGAAGCGGCTGTGCACAGGACAAATGGCAGCAGCTTATTCCCTGAAGCACACTAGGCTTCTCCCCGACTCGCAGCACACGCTCCCCAGAGGCGGCTGCTTCACGGCTGCAGCAGAAAGCCAGCCAGGTCGCCCTGCTTCCCCAGGAGGCTCCAGCAGCCTCATCCGCATCTGCTCCCCGAGGAAACCACTTGGTCTAGGATCAGAGGGCTGGGGTACACCGTAAACAGGTCCACCTGATGGATGTTGGCCTCTTGTACTTTGATCTCCTGGGGACTGGAACGGGATGGATTCAAGAAATAGCCATGATTCTCGACTACACCCGGAGTCTTTAACAAGCAGGAGATATTCAGGATCACCCCCAGCAAGGTCTTCTGGTACATCTGCCCGTCGCTGAGGTCCTTGGGCTGAATGTGTTCTACAAACACCTGGAAGAGAAGGTACATCTTACTTGTTTGTTTGTATGATGAGATGGATGTGATGGGATGAGCTGGCCTCAAAAAGTTAGGTCTACACAACAACATATCTTTTCTTTTACTCAACAGGTAATATTACTGTACCCTCAGGATAGGGAAGCACAAGTTATTAGATCTCCAGCTTATCAAAAACATTTTTTTTTTCTTTATTGATTTTTAAAGAGAGAGGAAGGGAGAGGGAGAGAGAAATAGAAACATCAATGAGAGAGAACACTGATTGGCGCTTCCGGCATGCCCCTCACTGGGGATCGGGCCCACAACCTGGGCATGTGCCCTGACCAGGAACCGAACCGGCGACCTTGGTGCAGGGTCGACACTCAGCCCCTGAGCCACCCCGGCCGGCCCAGCTCAACCCTCCCTCTGCCACCTGCAGGCTCACCGCTGCCATGTCCTTCTGTCGCGTGAAGTAGAGCAGGATGTCCAGATATGCGTACAGCAGCATCTGGCAGAGTTCTAGGTCCTTTATCCGGCCCAGTAAAACATCAAACACCGGGATCATGACTTCTGGAAATGTCCGAACTTCCTCGTCCAATACCAAGGCTTTAATGACCTCTTCCAGAAACTCAGTTACATCTTCAAAATCTGACAGAAGGCAAATGAGAGAAAAGAGGCCAAAGGGATTTTTATAGCCTTCATACCTGGCTCTTTACTTCCTGATACTTTTGATAATTACACTGACATTCAACCTCAAAGGTCAACGTGTGAACTCTGCCTTCATTTGCGCTGGAACCGCAGTGGTTCTGAGGCGTCCAGTGCCTTAGAGGAAGTTTATATTTGGAAATCAGAATGTAGGTGCTCCCAGCTGTAGCTTCTGTACTCACGGGCTCCTTGGATGGCTTCCAACATCAAATCTACCAGTTGCTCGTGGATGTTCTGGTCAACGTATATCTCTGGGGTGAGGAGCACGGTCCGCGTGTTGGACACGGTGAGGTCCCTGCACTGCACCGCGAAAGGCAGCAGGTTCTCCGGGACCTTGGTGATCTGCAGCCGCAGGAAGGAGACACGGAAGAGTCTAGTTCTATGACCTGGACTAAGGGTGTCCACAGCAGACAGGATGGAAAGGACACCATGTTCCAAAACAGTTTCACTCTCGCGTGGCTGCTCGCACATTCACAAGAGCCCATTCTTTGGTTTAAGGAATCACCCACTTGTTGGAAGTCCAATCCCGGAAGTGACCAAGCTTGGACTACTCTATTATTTGCACCTAGTGGAAATGAATTTATCAGACCTTTACTAAGGGTGTGATTTTTAAGAGGTGTGTAGAGAGTATAAGAGGGACTGGTTCACTGGGGAAAGGAGTGGATCCCAAGCCACAGAAAGATGGAAACTTTAGAAGATACACTAACAGAGCCTAATATCAGTACTGTATCTAGTTACAGATATACTATAAACGTTTGTCAGTAATATAAGCTGATAAAGACATGGATCCAACTCTTTGGCCTACATGTTAAAGTCATTCCCAAGAGGACAACACGGTACTCCGTGGGAATTATTATTATTATTATTTTTAAAATCCTCACCAGAGGATATTTTTTCATCCATCATCAGGTAGAGTGGGAGGGAGGGAGGGAGAAAGAGGGAGAGAGAAAGAAGGAGAGAAACATTGATGGGAGAGAGACACATCGACTGGTTGGCCTCCTGCATGACCCGACCAAGGCTAGGGGTGAACCACAACCGAGGTCCATGCCCTTGACCAGAACTGAACGTGAGACTCATTGGTCCAGGGGCCAACGCTCTAACTGCTGAGCCAAACCAGCCAGGGCAGAATTATTATTATTATTATTTTTAATTTTCACCAGAGGATATTTTCTCATTGATTTTTTTTAGATAGAGAGGGAGGGAGGGAGGGAGGGAGGGAGGGAGGGAGGGAGGGAGGGTGAAACATCAATATGACAGAGACACATCAATTGGTTGCCTCCCGCTCGACCTTGACGGGGCCCGGGGATCAAACCCACAGCTGAGGCACATATCCTTGACTGGGAATCGAATCTGCGAATCTTTGGTCAATGCTCTAACCGCTGAGCCAAACTGACCAGGGCGGGAGTTGTTATCATTACCTCTTCCTTGGCTCTTTGGAAGCAGGAATAAAGGTAACAAAAAATGTGCCTCTCCCCGGCATCTCGATCAGCAGAGAGGTTTAACGTTGTAGAAGAAGTCATGTTAATCAAGTGGTTGCCTGGATCTTGAAGTAATAAGCGAGCAAAGACAGCCTATCAAGAAAAAAAAATAAACAGAAATGCTCAGCCATCGCAAAGTTAACTGTGGTAGCTAAGGAATTCTGACACAGGTTATTGCGAGAATCACAGGCTGCAAAGGGAAAGTAGAACCCAGAGTCTTACTATCTTAGAAAGCATTGTGTGCACGACATAGTGTGCAGACGTAAACACATCCTACATCAAGCTCAGGAGTGCAGGATAGCCCTAGCACAGAGTAAGCATTGTGTACATGACATAGTGTGCAGCTGTAAACGCATCCTACATCAAGCTCAGGAGTGCAGTATAGCCCCTAGCACAGAGTAAGCACTGTGTGCAAGACATAGTGTGCAGATGTAAACGCATCCTACATCAAGCTCAGGAGTGCAGTGTAGCCCTAGCACACAGTAAGCATTGTGTGCACGACATAGTGTGCAGACATAAACGTATCCTACATCAAGCTCAGGAGTGCAGTGTAGCCCTAGCACACAGTAAGCACTGTGTACACGACATATGTGCTCAGGAGTGCAGTATAGCCCTAGCGCAGAGTAAGCATTGAAAGGTATTTGCTGAACGCAGAATCAGCGATTAAACTTTAATGTTAATGAGGCACCGATAAGGTGAAATGCTTGTTTTGATTTTGGAAAAGATATAAAGAAGAAAGAGATAAGATGACATTTCAATTGCTCTTTCTTTTTTTAACTTTTAAAAAATTAATTTTTAGAGAGAGAGGAAGAGAGGGGGAGAGAGAGATAGAAACATCAATGAAAGAGACCATCAACTGGCTACCTCCTCCCTGCCACCCTCCTGCATGCCCCCCACTGGGGATTTGGCTCACAACTGGGCATGTGCCCTGACCGGGAATTGAACCAGCGACCTCTTGGTGCATGGTTGACGCTCAAACACTGAGCCACACCGGCTGGGCCATTTTAACTGGCCTTAAAGAGTGGGTAGATTTGGACATCTGGCCCTGGTTGATAACATTCACAAGAGGAAGCCCACACACAGCGGGAGAGATGGAGGTAAGCAAAGCCACGCTGGAGGGAGGTGAGCAGAGCCCAGCGGCCTGGCTGATTGTGCTGAGGGCACACGAGGACCACGTGACTTACCTGCTCAATGTTGTTCATATCCAGCCAGTCCTGATCATCGAGGTCTACTGCCATTTCTTCCAAATACACACAGCGGCTGGGGATACCATTCCCACTTTTTAAGTTTGGGTCACCTGGGAAATGGTTTTAATCTGGTAGGTTAAGGATGACGCTTCTGCTTTGTACAGATAACCAATCTAGACAGAAGTTCGACTCAGGTAATATTAGAATGATCTTATAAAGCAGTACTGAAAGATTTAAACCCCCCCCCCCCCCAGTTAAAGAGCATGCATGTGCTTGTTAAAACCCAACACCATGACAGTTAAAGAGTAAGTTCCAGACATTCACACTAACTTGGGTTTAACTACAGGTAAGGCACGGAGGGAAAACACTGTCTCATATCTCCTGGGGCTTCCGTCTAAATGCTGAGGTCACCTCTGAGAAGAAAATGGATTCATTCCCATGTCCTCTTAAGTAAAGGCAAGTAGCTATACAGCCCAGTCAATATCAAACGGGAATGAAAGTTCCATCTGTGTCTAAACACTGATTTTAGGTTACATCAGAGCTCCATGAAATCTAAGCTGTGTTCTAGAGAGGACAGCAGGTTGTTTAAGCATCAGCTACGACAGATGTCTCAGAGCAGGTCCCCAGCCCGAGCGGGAAGGGCAGAGCAAGGCACACACTGGCTGCAAGGGTGCAACTCACTGTTGTCCAGAGTGATGAGGAAGACCCTCTGGATCATGTGATTGATGTTGAGCTGCTCACATATCTCCTGCTGTGACCGGAACGAGCGGCTGATCTCAGCCGCAGAGCGATCGAGCTCGTCCAGGCTCTCCGACACACTGTTGTCCGAGTCGTCTGGGCTGGCCTGGGGCTCATCTGCCGAGAACGCAAGCCACTCAGTTACACTCCTCTCGAGAGAACAGAGCGCAGTGCCAACAGTGACAAATGTAACCAAGAGAGAGACAATTCTGCATGTGAAACAAGTTAGTCAGCTAATTAGTAAATATCTCAAGTCAGGCATCATTTAAAATAAATTGAGATATAACATTTAGTTTTAGGTGTATAAGATTTGATATTTGTATATATTGCGAAATGATCACCAAAACAAGTCTAGTTAACATATTTCACCATACGTAGTTAGAATTTTTTTTCTTGTGATGAGAACTTTTAAGATCTACTCTATTAGCAACTTTCAGATATGGCATATAATATTAACTACAGCCACCATGCTATATAATTACCTCTCAAGGACTTATTTATAACGGAAAGGTCATATCTTTTGATCCCTTTACCCGTTTCACTCACCCCCCCAACCCCCACCTGTTCCCTGTATTTATGAGCTTTTAAAAACATTTCACACATAGGTGAGATCACACAGTATTTGTCTTTCTGAGTCTGACTTATTTCACTTAACATAATACCCTCAAGGTCCATCCATGTTGCCATAAATGGCAAGATCTTCTTTTTTCTGACTACTATTCCATTGAATGCATATATCGAATTTTCTTTATTTGCATTTTGTTGATTCATATTTGTTTCCAATATTTTGGCATTTAAAAATAATATTGCAATAAACATGGGGGTGCATGTACATTTCTGAGTTAGTGTTCTTGTTTTCTTTGGATAAATATCCAGAAGAGGAACTGCTAGGTCGTATGGTAGTTCTGTTTTTTATTTTTTGAGGAAACTCCATACTGTTTTCCACAGTGGCTGTACCAATTTTCATTCCCACCAACAGTGCGTGAGGGTTCCCTTTTCTCCACATCTTCACCAACACTTGTTATTTCTTGTCTTTTGATAAAACCCATTCTAGCAGATGTGAGGTGATTTCTCATTGTGGTTTTAATTTTCAGTTTCCTGATGATTAGTGGTATTGACTGCTTTTTCATGTACCTGTTGGCCATCTGTATATCTTCTTTGGAAGAACATCTATTCAGATCCTCTGCCTATTTTATTCAAAACTTTTTTTCCTGCCCTGGTCGGTTTGGCTCAGCGGTTAGAGTGTCAGCCTGCGGTCCGGAGAGACCTGGGTTCGGTTCCCGCTAAGGGCATGTACCTTGGTTGCAGTTTGTCACCCGGCCCTGGTTGGGTCATGCGGGTGGCGGCCACTCGATGTGTCCCTTTTGCGTCGATGTTTTTCTCTCTCTCTCTCTCTCTCCCCCTCCCTCCCTTCTACTCTATCTGAACAAAACATGGAAAAATGTCCTCAGGTGAGGATTAAAAAAATATATATGTATTTTTCCCTTTATTAATTTCTAGAGAGAGAGTAAGGGAGAGGGAGAGAGAAAAACATCGATGAGAGAGAACACTGATTGGCTGCCTCCTACCTGCCCCTCACTGGGGATCAGGCCCACAACCTGGGCATGTGTCCTGACTGGGAATTGAACCAGAGACCTCTTGGTGCATGGGTCAACGCTCAACCACTGAGCCACACTGGCCAGGCCTTTCTGCCAATTTTAATTGGATTATTTGTTTTTTGGTTTTGTTTTGCTGTTGAGTTGTATTAGGCAATATCTTAAGTCAGAACTCTGAAATGCTTGGCTAAATATCCTACCACATTTTACAAATCAAAAATTTTATTCTTCCTGCTCATAATTAATTGTACAACACATTGCCAAAATTAGCAACATGATTTTCCCTATAGAATCCTAGTGAACAAAGAATTCCTTCATAGATCAATATGACTTTAATTACTTAAAATATATGGCCTTTTCCTGATTTTAAGAGAACACATTTGTTTCATTTTTTTTTTTATCCTCACCCGAGGACATTTTTGCATTTATCTTGAGACAGAGTGGGAAGGAGAGAGGGAGGAAGAGAGAGAGAGAGAGAGAGAGAGAGAGAGAGAGAGAGAAACATCAATGTGGGAGAGACATATCAAGTGGTTGCCACCCACACGACCCCAACTGGAGCCGGGGACAAACTGCAATGGAGGTACATGCCCTTAGCGGGAACCAAACCCAGGCCTCTCTGGTCTGTGGGCCAACGCTCTAACCACTGAAGCAAACTGGCCAGAGCTGTTTCATTATTTTTTAATTTTAATTTTATTTTTTAGTATTACATTAAACATCTACATGCCACAAAATTATTTCACTGCAAATTATCCAAGAAATGTAAAGTCACTTAACAAGTGGTTTTGTCCACCTTAGTTTGGTTGAGAAACTCTTATAGTGGAACGGAAGGAATATAGTAAGTACTTACTGCAGTACTCACTATACTGAACAGTCTTGAGAACAAGAAGAAAATCTCTAACTCTGAAGACTGTTTTATACCTTGTTCAAAGATTTCTTCAAAATGAATACTTTGAAAGTAAGTCATATAGCCCTGGCCAGTGTTGTCCAGTGGTTAGAGCGTTGGCTCATGCACCGAAGGGTGGCAGGTTCGATTCCTGGTCAAGGGCACATACCTGGGTTACATGCAGGTTTGATCCCTGGCCCCCGTTGGGGCGCATGCGGGAGTCAACCAATTGATGTGTCTCTCTCTCATCCACTCTCTCTAAAAAGAAAAATTAATGAAAAAAATATCCCTGAGTGAGGATGAAAAATAAATAAATAAAAAAAAATAAATCATGTAATTATTCTGACTTGTTTGATGATACCTAAGCTTCAGAAGGTTTGTGAAGAAATCACAAAGAAAAACAATCACTTTGATGCAATGAAATGCTCTTCCTAAAGCCTTTCACACAGCGGCTCGGCAGCTTCAGCACACATCAGAATTCCGGGGCAACGCTTCCTTGGCTACAGCCTGCTGGCCACTCGCAGCCTCCGACAAGCGTCTAGGCGACGCTGACGGTGTGGGTCTGGGCACAGCTCTGTAAGAGCCACTCCTACGATCCATTCTCCAGGGCTCAGACGAGTCAACACGCCCATAACCTTTGCTTTTTCTAATGGTAAATAAATAACAGAACACTTATATTGGGCTCCATCAAACTTAAATTTTCAGACTTTTGAAATGTTCTCTACTTAAACAGAATAGAATATATAATTGTTCATCTTGGTTCATAATAATTCCCATGAGTTCAAAAGCCAGAACCACAGGATAGTCCAGGACTAGATAATCTGTGACCACCTGGAAACATTTACTTACACAGTGCACAGTGACTTTAGGGTACAAGGATCTCGCTCCTGTCTCCTCCAAGCCTTTAGAAAATCCAATATGGAGTCGTGAGCATGAGAACGTGACCTTCCGTGAATGGGGACAGACGTCACAGTGCACTGTCATACTGCAGAGTCACAGTCAGGAACGTCTTTATCAGGGCAGCAGTAATATTCCACAAAACACACTGTTCATCTTCATTTCTAATCATACACTGTAATGAGAGGAATCCTTGGTTATCTGTCCAAATAATACCTTTCAAGCCAGGACTAACGCCTTTGCAGGTTTCAGTGAAGACATCTTGTCTGTTGACCTGGGAGAGTCAGGTGGGACTTCCTGCATTCCCCACAGTAGATAGCCTGAAACAAGGCTTCTCAGGACACAGGTGATCTGCAGGGCCTCACTTGCCACATCCAATTCAGACATGCTTCACGGAGCCCCTGTGACTGCCGAAGTTTCATTGCTGACACTGGTGCTGCAGAAAGAAGGTCCAGCGTTCCCACAGGCCCCGAGCACTGGCTCACAGACTGTCACCACTCCTTCCAGAAATAGCATCAAAGGCTGACCAGACCTTGGTAACACATTGGAAGAGCAGTTAAATTCCCTGGCATAGGACTTGATCCAAAAATAGATCAGCAGCCTAAAAGAATAATTACATTAATTTGAGCAGTAATAGGCTCTTCCTGAACTTTAAACTCTTGAACGATCCAGCCTGAATAGAAGCATCTGCTTGCACACATTTGCGTTTCCCACTGTAACCTTGATTCCATTTTTAGTAGCAAGACAGGTGGCATGTTCTTGGAAATGAATGGCCTTCAGGACCACGGAGGTTCCTCACACTGAGGCTGGCCACCAAGCTATGGTCACTCTCCTCTGGGATCCGCTGATTTGTGAGGGGCATCGTCCACGTGACCCGACTAGAGGAATGTTCCTGGTGCCAACACCTCTCCCACGGACCATTTCGGTGGGGACCCGCCTAAGGGTCTTTCCCAGGCGGGTCACTGGGGAAGCAAGTCGCAGCTCCCCGAGAAATGGGGAGGAAGTGGATTGGCCAGAACACATTTGTTTTAATATTTCCAAAGTGTATAGGACAATACAATGTAATTACAGTCAAACCTCGGTTCTCGAACGTCTCCCATATTGAACAATTCAGTTCTCGATCAAATTTTCACCAAAAAAAATGTCTCAGTTGTCGAACAAAATTTCAGTTTTCCCTTTCACGCTGATACCTCAGCATAACAAAACACATCACTCAAGCAACAAAGGAGAGTGTGGTCAGCTCCTGTTAACATCGCAGGAAATTGTGCTGTGAATATTTTTGTGTGTGTTTTTTTCTTTTTATGCTTTGGTTCCTGGCAAAGTGGATAATTAGCACAATTATGAAACATAAAGAGGCCATCAAGAGTGCTAATGTTGCTAAGGGTGTGAAAAAAACAATGATCACAGGCAATTGACGAGGTAGAAACCTGCTGTTCATCTGGATAAATGCAGAGCGGTTAGCAGGTGACAGCATCTCCGAAGCAGCGACATGTGAAGAAGTGAGATGCGAGCCGACTCCCTGCAAGACCCCTGAACGGTGCTGGGAGCGATCTGCTCGAGGGGCTGGCTCCATACATTTAAGAAAAGTGTTTGTTTATAGAGCAGACAGTACACTAGACATGTACTGTATGCAAGAAAGGTTAAAACAGGGACTCATTTAGGGGTCTGGAATGAATTAATTCAATTTATGTTATTTATAATGGGGAAAAATGATTCAGTTTTTGAGCAAATTGCTTTTTAAAAGGCATTTCGGGCCCTGGCCAGTTTGCTCAGTGGTTAGAGCGTCGGCCTGCAGTCCAGGGAGAACCGGGTTTGTTCCCGCTAAGGGTACGTACCTCGGTTGCAGTTTGACCCCGGCCCTGGATGGGTCGTGCGGGTGTCAGCCACTCAATGTGTCCCTTTCACGTCGATGTTTCTCTCTCTCTCCCTTCCTCTCTCCCTCCCAATCTATCTGAACAAAAACTGGAAAAATGTCCTCGGGTGAGGATTAAAAAACAAAGGGCATTCCGGAATAAACTGAGTCTGAGAACCATGGTCCCACTGCAGTTCCCTCTGAACCAGCTCCCCATGGACAACCCTTTCACTTAGCAAGGTTTTACATATTTTTTCCTATTCTGGTGCTAATGTTTATTACTATGATTTTTAGTATTTTTGTTGTTGTTAATTCTCACCCAAGGATATTTTTCCATTGATTTTTAGATAGAATGAAAGGGGGGGAGGGAGGGAGAGAGACAGAGAGAGAGAAACTTCAATGTGAGAAAGACACATCAACTGGCCGCCTCCTGCACGACCCTGATAGGGGCCGGGGATCGAACCTGCAACCCAGGTATGTGCCTTTTATCAGGAATTGAACCTGTGACCCTTCTTCAGTCCATGGGCCAACGCTCTGATAGATGAGCCAAACCAGCCAGGGCTATGATTTTTAGTTTTTATAAAAATAAGATCATAGGGTAAACTGCTTTTCAGCTTGCTTTTAAAACTTAATCAGCACAACATCTTTCTTGGTTCAATTATTTTTAGGCCTACCTTGTTCTTTTCAACAGCTGCGTTATATTGCATTGTATATATACACTGTGATTTATGTAGCTGCTTCTCAACTGACAAACATTTGGTTTGTTACCGATATGTCATGATTTAAAACAATACTGGACAGAATATAACCTACTCTTTTTTGTGCACTTGTATTTGTAGTTCTGTGGGCTCAATTTGTAGAAGCAAAATTGCTGGGTTAAAAACTCGAACATTTAAAAGTTAACACGTACTACCAAATTACCTCAGATAGACTGCTCTAATTTACATGCTCACCAACAATATATGAGAAAATACCATTACAATCTTCACAAATGTCATCGGTGAAAAAACTGTAACTAATTCTTTTTACTTTATTATTTATTTATGTTTTCTTTATTGATTTTAGAAGGGAGAGGGAGAGAGAGCTAGAAACATCGACGAGAAAGAACATCGACTGGCTGCCTCCTGCACGCCCCCCACTGGGGATCGGGCCCACAACCTGGGCCTGTGCCCTGACCGGGAATCAAACTGGTGACTTCTTGGTGATGGGTCCACACTCATCCACTGAGCCACATCAGGTGGGCCCATGTAATTGTTTTCAATGGGCATTTCTCTAAATATTATTGAGACCAATTAAAAGAAAATTTTTTTTTCCTTTTTGGTTATTCCTCACCCAAGGCTATTTTTTCCATTGCTTTTTAGAGAGAGTGGAGGGAGGGAGGGTGGAGGAGAGTAGAGAGGCAGAGAGGGGGAGTGAGAGAAACATCGATTGGTTGCCTCCCACTCATGCCCTGACCAGGGCCAGGGATCGAACCTGCAACCCAGGTACATGCCCTTGACCGAGACTCGAATCACTGAGCCACACCAGCCAGGGCAGCGAGACCAATTTTTAAAATAATTTGATTCCTGTGTATAAATTGCTTGCTCATATCTTTTGTTCTTTTTCTTTCTAATTTGTACTTTTTCTTACTGGTGAACCCCTATACTTTTCATAGCAACCGAGGAGACCGCCTCTCAGAACGGCCTCGCGGTGACTGAGTGTGAAGGCAGCATTGTCACCAGAGCCACGCCGGAGCCTGCGCCGACAGGACGGCCAGGTCGGAGCGGCCTCGGGTGGCGAGCTCAGCAGAGCGGAGCTCACAGAGGCCTGGCGTGAAGGTGCTGGTGGAGAAGCCAGACGTGGTGCGGCTCACGGTGCCGCAGACGAGGAGCCAGAACGGGCACAGAGGGTGTGCAGCTGATCTGCCCGCCTGCTCGGTCAGCGCTGAGCTCCAGCCAGGGGACAGCGTCTGTCACTACTCACATACTGTCAAGTTCTCTCAGCTCCAGCAATGGCAGCAGCTGAGACCTATTTAGCAGAATTTCCCTTACTCACATCCTCATACGTGTTCTTTTCTCATTCCCTTATTTCCCTGTCCCTCACTCTCCTTTCTCACCAAGTCTCCCAGTGTGATGCCTCTCCTTCCAAGCCCATATCCTAGGGACCTGGGTGGGACTTCAGAGCCTGAGACCAGATCTGCCTCTTTCTGTCACACTAACATGTCACCATTTAAGATGCTGCCTGCCGTTTCTCTTCTGGTCTCTCTGGAAGCAAGTGGTTACAAATACAAAGAGAAAAAGAAAAGCCAGCATTCCCTTTGCTTCTCCCTCCTTCAACCGTCACACTGTCTGCCACTCATCTGTCCTTCCCGTCCCTCCTTTTTGTTCAGTCCTAATCGGAGCAAGGCCATAACTCAGTGCACCTCTGAACACTCTTGAAACAAAATAAAGGGAAAATATAAACATTTCTCCTTTCCTAAAAAGAAAAACACTTTTATTCATTCTTTTTTTTGTGGGTAATAGAAGGGGAGCAATTTCTGGCTTGAAAGACTGTGAATACCCTCTGAAGACTAATAAGTCTGGAAATATGAACTGATCCATCTAGTCTGCACGTCTCCTTATGGGCAGAGCTGGGCTTCACTCTAATTTGGACACTGCGCTAGCGCCGAGATTTCTCACGTGCAGGCTGGGGGTCGCACTCCTCGCAGCCGGGTCTACGGCAGTGGGCTGCGGGGGTGGCCACGCCTCGGGGTGGAAGAAGCACTTCATCTGAGCGGAGACTCGGAAGTACCGGTCTTGAGAACAAATCTCATGTATTTGTCTACAGGCCAAACAAATGTGTACAATTCTTCCTTTCACACATCTGCTTTCTGAGGTTGCGTATGACTTGTTTCCATACCTCTGCCTACAACTTCAGTTTCCTATACTAAACAAGTGATTTAAATATCTTTCACTAGGTGATTTAAAGAATAAAACAGCTTGACAGTCTGCACTCATGACTGGTACCTGCTACCACAGAACCACCTGTTATCTGGTCTCTTGCTGGAGGACAGGGAAGAAAGGACCCCGGAACGAAATAAACAACAAAAGTGAACAATTCCACTGCCCCCCTTCTGCCCTAAACAAACAAAAACAACTTCTGCCCCAAACTGAAATCCCAGTGGCAATTAGGTTCCCCAAGAACACTGAGTTTGGGGAGCCCATCCCAGGTCATCATCTGCTGCTCCCCCACTCACCAGACTGCTGCTTGAGCTGCTCCTTTTGGATTGCTGCGAACCGCCTGGCATCAGCCAGAGAGCCAAAGAGAGCAGCAAAGGGGTTGCTTGAGATGCTGTTGTTATTCTCCTGGTCTGTCATTTCACTTTAAAGCGTCCTCCATCCAGACCTGGGGGAAGGGCTATAGGAGGGACAGGTGTTAGGCGCAGAAGGTCGGATAACACAGCAGTTGTCATATACCCACAGTTGTTTCTTTTCTCACCTCTCAAATGCAACACATTTTAAAAGGCTTTGGGTAAGACTTTAAATTCCTGTTTCAAGATTCAAGACATTTTGGCAAAAAGGTTATAAATCTACCAACTGGACAAGTTGGCCTGCTTTGAGGGGGGCAGAACAAACAAACAAAAACCCTACAGAATGTTCTGCTGGAATGCATGTATCTGATGACCCGTTTCTATTGGTTATACCTTTAAAAACAGGTTAAGTAGAAAGAAAAAGAGGAAACTCACCTACTAATTGTAACAACACGAGACTTGAAAGTAACACCACAAAGACTACGTGTTAGCCACGGATCTCTCGGCGGGCCAACCGGTTCTCACTTTCCACAGGCACCAGGTGGCGCTTGCTCTGGCTTCCGTGACTGCTCATGGGCGCTGAGAATTCCTCAGCTCATATAAACTAAATGCAGGCCTGCATCTCGGCCATGCAATGACGACTCAGGCCAGAAACCTGAGCATGTTGTGATCGATATACATGTGTGTAAATATATGTGTCTATATCTATAGATACATGTATATATATGTATGTGTGTATGTATATGGTAAGCAGTCTACCTCTACCCCTAGGCTTACAACGGCTATCCCCTCCACTAAGAACACAATAATCTTTGATTAGTTCTATATTTGGCTTTCCTGCTGATCGGATGTCCCACGGTCCTGGAGAAACGCCCAGCCCTGAGGTGTGGCGCGGAGCAGGTGTGTGTGTGCTGGCGCTGAGCCCGCACTGCCCTCTTCTGACCGCGTCCTCACCCAAGCACCAGGGGGCTCAGAGGCACAGCAGACGAGCGAGCTCCCCGGAAGGCTGCCTCCCGTTTCTGAACGTAGGGCCACAGCACAGAAATGCAACCTGAAGATGCGTGTGACGAGACCAAGGGAACGAAGACTCTGCGCCACGAGGATGCTGAACTGCTGAAGGAACAGAGCCCTTGGAAGAAGTGAGGGAGGGTATAAGGAAAGGAGAAAGAGAACACTGGGCCTCCCTGTAATTTATTGAGGTCAGGCTCCTTATTTAGTCATATGAACAAAAGCTAATGCAAATCGGAAAAATTACCCTCATTTTTTGGAGGAAGAGAGACCATACCACTCCTTGACAACTCTGAGCCATCTCTACCGGTTGCTTCATGTTCCTGTGGCGTTTCTGCATGGGAGCTCGTGGCTCATGAGCTGTAATGAGTTAGGCAGACAGTCCAGTCTCCCTCTGCGTGGGGCTGCACTTGACTGCTTAAGGCACTGAGCCGTTAGGTGTTGCTGTTTTATTTTTGCTGTGTATGGTTAGTTGAGCTTAATAATGCAAAGAAATGAGCATACTGAGTGTTGAAACCAACAACAATCCTGGGGAGGACTCCCCGCTTTAGCCACCGCATACACTTTATCGTCACCCCTAATTCACGTAGAGGCCAAGTACTGTCTCATGTCACCTGACCGCCACCCTCCTTCTAGCCTACAGTACTCTGAAGTCCAAGGAATGCAAAAAGGGTAGAGAGCTCTGGTTATTTTCTGTCTCCTCCCTTTCAACACGACATCCACATTATTCCCTTGGGGCTCCAACCCATTCCCAGCCCCCACATTTGAAAGGGGATGACCTTACCGCTCCCTTCAGGAACGGGCATATGGCCCGGCCTGGCCAGAAGAATACAGCATTCTCTGGGCCAGTGACCGATTCGGAAGTGGCACAAGACCTTAGCAAGGCCTATCAGACCCAATAACATCAGCCTCGGGCCTGGGCTGAATCTACGGAAAAGGGAACTCTTCCTCCGCTTCAGTGGCTGGGCTGGTTAAGATATAAACACGGAGCTGCACCTTTCCACCGTCTAGAAATGGCCCAGACCAAACCTAAGCCAACACATCGGAACACAGAGTGAGAGGCGGAAAGAGTTTTTTTCAGCTGTGAAAGCCAACAGATTTCCGTATATTGGGTCAGCACATCAGAATGGGTTTTTGAACAGAGTTCAGTTAGTACAAAGGAGGTGCATCACCTGTACCATCTGTGGAGAAAGAAGTACAGCTGACCTTTGAAGAACATGGGGTTGGGGCACCAACCCTTATGCAGTGGAAAATCCACGTATAACTTAAAAAAAAAAAAATGCAATTTTATTGATTTCAGAGAGAGGAAAGGAGAGGAACAGAGAGATAGAAACAATGATTGCTGCCTCCTGCACACCCCCTACTGGGGATTGAGTCCACAGCCGGGGCATGTGCCCTGACCCAGGAATTGAATCAGAGACCTCCTGGTGCATGGGATGATGCTCAACCACTGAGCCACACCACTTATACCTTTCGACTCCCCCAAAACCTAATAGCCTACTGCTGACCAGAAGCCATACAAATAATATAAACAGTCAGCACATATTTATATATATATATATATTTAATATTCACTAAGGACATTTTTCTGTTTCTCTTCAGATAGGGTGGGAGGGAGAGAGAAGAAGAGAGGAGAGAGAGAGAGAATCATCAACATGGGAGAGACACATCGACTGGCTGCCTCCTGCATGACCCAACCAGGGCCAGGGACGAACCACAACCAAGGTACATGCCCGAAATCGAACCTGCGACTCTTTGTTCCGTGGGCCAACGCTCTAACCTCTGAGCCAAATCGGCCAGGGCAACATATATTTTGTATGTGATATGTATTACACACTGTATTCCTACAATAAAGTTAAAGAAAATAACATGTTATTAAGGAATCCTAAGAGAAAATACATTTCTAGTACTGTACTTATTTATTGGAAAAATCCTCATGTAAGTGGACCAGCACATTTTAAAGCCATGTTGGTCAAGAGTCAACTATAAGTTGAACCGAATATAGACCATATGACAGACAGGCTCTTAAGACCATCAAGAGAGATAAAGAGAATAAATGGAATTATCTCCTCCTTTTTCAATATCATACTTCACATTATATAAAGAAGCTACCTTCCTCTTTCTTTTCTTTGCTTTTCTTTTCTCTCTCTCTCTTTCTATTTTAAAGAATAGTTTATTGACTTTTAGATAGATCTATCTATCTATCTATCTATCTATCTATATTTTAAAGAATAGTTTGTTGACTTTTAGGGAGAGGGAGAAAGAGAAACATCAATGTGAGAGAGAAATATCAATTGGCTGCTTCCTGCACACCCCCTAATGGGGATTAAGCCCGTGACCCAGGCATGTGCCCTTGACCAGGAATTGAACCAGCCACCTCCTGGTGCACTGGATGATGCCCAACCAACTAAGCCACACCGGCCAGGGCACATTTTATCTATATTTTTAATACAATTTATAACTTGCTACATTGTATTCCTAATGCAGATCTTCTTCTGTGCTGAACTGTAAGCAACTGGAGTACAGGTTTCTATGTGATTTTTTTCTTCTTCTGGCATTTCATATCACAATAAAAAAAATCCCAAATAAATACTCATTGAATCACTTATTCACACTACCTGACTTCAAATTATACTACAGAGTTATGATAATCAAAACAGCATGGTATTGGTAGAAAAACAGACACACAGATCAGTGGAACATAACTGAGAGCCCAGATATAAAGCCTTATATATATGGGCATATAATTTTCTTTTCTTTTTTTTTTTTTAATCCTCACCCGAGGACATTTTTCGATATTTTGTTCAGATAGAGTGAGAGAGAGAGAGAGAAACATCGACGTGAAAGCGACACATCGAGTGGTTGCCACCCACACGACCCAACCAGGGCTGGGGACAAACTGCAACCAAGGTACGTGCCCTTAGCGGGAACCAAACCCGGGTCTCTCCGGACCACAGGTCGACGCTCTAACCACTGAGCCAAACCGGCCAGGGCTGGGCATATAATTTTCAACAAAGGAGCCAGGAACACACAATGGAGTAAAGAAAGCCTCTCCAATAAATGGTGCTGGGAAAATTAGAAAGTCACATGCAAAAGAATTAAACTGGATTACAGTTTGTCTCCAGCACAAAAATTAATTCAAAATGGATCAAAGACCTAAATATAAGATCTGAAACAGTAAGTTACATAGAACAAAGCATAGGTACTAAGCTTATGGACCTTGGTCATAGAGAACATTTTATGAACTTGACTCCAAAGGCAATGGAAGTAAAGGCAAAAATAAATGAATGGGACTACATTAAACCAAAAAGTTTCTCCACAGCAAAAGAAACCAAAGAGGCAGAAGACGGAATGGGAGATGATATTTGCAAACAATAGCTCCTACAAAGGTTTAACATCTAAAATATATAAAGAACTCATAAAACTCAACATCAAACAAACAACCCAATTAAAAAATGGGAAGAGGACCTGAACAGACACCTCTCCCAAGAGGACATACAAACAGCCAACAGATATATGAAAAGACGTTCAACCTCACTAGCATTTAGTGAAATGCAAATGAAAACTATGAGATACCACCTCACACCTGTTAGAATGGCTTTATCAACAAGACAAGTAATAATAAGTGTTGGAAAGGTCATGGAGAAAAGGGAACCCTCATTCACTGCTGGTGGGAATGTGGACTGGTACAGCCACTATGGAAAACAGTCTGGTGATTCCTCAAAAAAACTAAGAACAGAGGTACTATATGACCCAGCAATCTCTCTCCTGGGTATACCTAAAAAACTTGAAAACATGTCCCCAAGATATATGCACCCCTATGTTCATTGCAGCATTATTCACAGTGACCAAGACATGGAAACAACCAAAGTGTCTGGTGATAGAGGATCGGATGAAGAAGATGTGGTACATATACACAATGGAATACTACTCAGTCATAACAAAGGATGAAATACTTCCATTTTCTACAACATGGATGGACCTTGAGAACATTATATTAAGTGAAATAAGTCAGGCAGGAAAAGCTAAGAACCATATGATGTCACTCATGTGGGATATAAAACTGAAACTTGTGGACTAAGACAGCAGTGTGGTGCTGGGGGGGGGGGGCTAGGTAGGGGCTGGGGGGTGAAGGGAGCCTAATATATGGTGACAGAAGATGATCTGACTTTGGGTGGTGGGCACACAGTGCGATATAAAGATCTTGTAACATAGAAACCCACACCCGAAACATATATGATCCTATTAAACAATGTCACCCCCCTAAAAAACAAAAAAAAAAAGAGAAAAAAAACAACAGTACTGCTAATTTCTTAAGGGACCTTATCAGCTTTTATTTATTTAAAAAATTTTTTTTCCCTTTATTGATTTAGAGAGAGGAAGGGAGAGATGGAAACGTCAATGAGAGAGAACACGGATTGGCTGCCTCCTGCATGCCCTCACTGGGGATCAGGACCGCAACCTGGGCACGTGCCCTGACCGGGAATCCAACCAGTGACCTCCTGGTGCGTGTGCTGACGCTCAGCCACTGAGCCACACCTGCCGCGCGACCTTATCAGCTTTTAAAGAGAGCACAGAAATGTTTTAACATCAGACTTGATATTGCTTTTAAACATATTTGGAGTACTTTGTTGTCAAAATCAAGCTCTATTAAATCATAATCCTTAGCGTCTCTTTCCTGACGAGTGATACATTCATCAAACAAACAATAAAAAGGAATTAAAAAATGTTTTCATTGTTGCCCCCTGGTGTTGCTCAGTGGTTGGGCATGACCCCTGCACCAAGAGGTCGCAGCTGCGTTTCGGGTCAGGGCACCTGCCCAGGTTGTGGGCCTGATCCCCAGTGGGGGGCAGGCAGGAGGCGGCCAGTTGACGTTCTCTCGCATGGATGTTTCCATCTCTCTCTCCCTCTCCCTTCCTCTGTCTCTAAAATCAATAAGGAAAAAAGAAAAAGTTTTCATTGTTGCATGTTCCACCCAACAATCCTTTCAGGCCCCTCTCATATGGCAATAGGTCCTTCCAACACGCCAGCAAGCTGGGGTGTCGTCAAGGCGAACAGCTGACGGCATTCCTGCCCGGGTCCCCCGAGACCCCACGGTCCACGGCAGCGCGCCTGCACCTCCCCGCTCCGGGACTGAAACCCGACCCCAGGCGCTCCTGCGTGGAGGCTGCTCCGTTTCAGAGGTGCCAGCGGGCCGGAGCTGCCGCTGGCGAACCGATCGCTGTGCTCAGGGAACGTCGGCACCTCGCCCTACGCCTGGAACCGGTCTGGGCAGCGCGACTCCCGCGAACTGTCATGGGTCTGGCACCTGCCCGTCTGCCGTCGCTCGCGGCGTTTTACGCCGCCAGGTTCCACAGGGCTGGGCGGCAGGAGGCAGACCCCGCTCGGTGCAGGCTCCGGCGAGGAGGGCAGCACGTCCAGGGTGACGCCGGCCGGCATCCCGGCCTGTCCCGGGACAGGATGGCAGCGGGTGGCGGCCGTGCCAGACGCGGGAGCACGCGCGGGGCTCCCACAGCGGCCAGGGTCGAAGTTCACGAAGGAGAGGGTAGTGGTCGGGGAAGACAGGGCAGGGAGCGGGGAGGAGGAAGGGGCAGAGGCCCGAACCTGCGGTCGGCCAGGAGAAGACACCCCATTGCAGACTCGGGGCCCTCCCCTCCAGCTACGCCCTCTCTTACCAGAGCCTGAAGGGCCGGCGGCGACGACACACGACAGAGTCCCACTGGCCGGAGGGCTCCCACTTCCGATTCAGCGGGCGACCGGAGCTTACATCATGACTAGGCGCCAGGCCCGGTGGAATCCCGGCCGACGCCGGAAACAGGGCGTGTCACCAACGCGGGGACCTGGCGCGCAAACACGCCCACGGCGCAGGCGCTCCCTGGGGGCGGGGCGCGGCGGCTGGACGTGAGCCCGGGGGCGGGCGACCGGAAGTGTGCCCGGGAGGGGCGGGCCGGGGACCGGAAGTTATCCTGGGAGAGGCGGGACGGGGACCAGAAGTGAGCCTGGGAGAGGCGGGACGGAGACCGGAAGTGAGCCCAGGAGGGGCGGGGCGGGAGGCCGGAAGTGTGCCCGTGACGGGCATTTGTGGCGAAGCGAGACTGGGTGGAGCCCGCAGGTGTGGCTGTGCGCTCCCGGCCCTGCCGCCCTTCCTTTGGGCTTCTGCCTTCAGCTTTTCCCGCGGTCTCGTGCCTTGTTGAAGCTTCAGTTACTCTTCGCGAATGATTGTGAGCGGAGAAGCAACCGCAGTAGCAATAACAGTGCCCTGTGAGCTGCCGGGCGGTGTGCTCAAATATGCCATGTTAACTTAAAACAATGTTTTTTTCCGTTATTGGTTTTAGAGAGAGAGGAAGGTGGAGAGAGAAACATCGATGAGCGAGAACATGGACTGGCCGCCTCCTGCGTGCCCCCCACTGGGGATCGGCCCCCAACCTGGGCACGTGCCCTGCCCGGTGACCTCTGGGTGCAGGGTGGACGCTCAACCACTGAGCCGCACTGTCTGGACTATTTAAACATTTTTAAAAAATTATTTTTTAATCCCAGCCTTGCCCAGTGGAGCTTAGTTGGAGGGTCACATGCACCGAAGGTTCTGGGGTTCGAGTCCCCTGAGGGCACAGACCCAAGTTGTGGTTCCATCCCGGGGAAGGGAGGCAACCCATTGACGTTTCTCTCTGTTTCCCTGTCTCCCCCGCCCTTCCTCTCTCTCTAAAACGAAAGATAAACAAAACAAAGTTCCTGAGCGAGGATTTAAAAAAAAATTATTTTTCAATTTCAGTTGACCTACAATATTTTATTAATTTGAGATGTACAGCACAGTGATTAGACATTCATGTACCTTATGAAGTGATCACCCTGATAAGTCTATTACCCCTGTGACACCACACATGGTTATTACAATATTATTGACTATATTCCTTATGCTGTACTTTATATCCCTGTGACTTTTTTTTTTTTTTTTTGGTACATGCCCTTAGCCGCTAGGGCTTAGCAGGAACTGAACCCGGGACTCTGGTGCGCAGGCCGACGCTCCAACCACTGAGCCAAATAGGCCAGGGCTCCCTGTGACTTTTTATAAGTTCAAATTTGTACTTCTTAATTTCTTCATCTTTTTCACTCACCCCCCAACCTCCTCCCATTTGGTAACTATCAGTTTGTTCTCTGTATCTATGAGTTTGTTTTGTTCATTTATAAAATATGCCATGTTTGATTTGGTTTGTTTTCTTGTCCGTAAAGTGGAGATAATACACATCCTACAAGGTTACTTTGAGGATCATAGATGGAATGGAAGCTGGATATTTTGAAAGAGTTAAAAGCACTGTGCAGATGAAAAGAATTAATTGTACGAATGAGAGGAAATCTTTTGTAAATCATATACAGTAGCCCCCTTATCAATGGGAGAATTCGTTCCAAGACCCCCAGTGGATAGTTCCAAACCCTATACATACTATGTTTCTTTGTATACATACATGATAGTGTTTAATGTATAAATTAGGCACAGTAAGAGATTAACAACAGCAATAATAAAATAGGACAATTATAACAATAGACTATAACTAAAGTTATGTGACGGGGTATCTCTCAAAATACCTTTCACTTAAAGGAAGCACTATAGGGCTTCTCTTTGGCATATCTGAATTGCTAGCATCATTCATTTTGTGTTTTGGGACATTATTAAATAAAATAAGGATTATCTGGACACAGCCCAGCAGTCTATCTGATAACTGGGTTGGCTACTAAATGACTAATGGGTGGGGAGCTTCTACAGAATGGGTACATGGATTCCCTGGACGAGGGATGATTCTCATCTGGGAGGGATGGAGCAAGAGGGAGCTGGCTGGATGCTGCTTATAACAATGTACAGTTTAAAACTTAGGAATTGCTTATATTTGGAAGTTGCCATTTAATATGTTTCTACCACAGTTGACCACAGGTAACTGAAGCTGCAGAAAGCAAAACTGTGGATGAGAGAGACTATCGTATCTGATAGAGGATTAATATCCAGAATATATAAAGAACTATAAGTCAACAAGAAGCCAAACATAAGAAAAAAAAGGGACCATAAGTGTTTGCAAGGATGTGGAAAAATAGAAACCCTTGCCCTGGCTGGTTTGGCTTAGCGGTTAGAGCCTCGGCCTGCGGTCCAGAGAGACCCGGGTTCGGTTCCCGCTAAGGGCACGTACCTCGGTTGCGGTTTGTCCCCGGCCCTGGTTGGGTCATGTGGGTGGCAGACACTCGATGTGTCCCTTTCACGTTGATGTTTCTCTCTCTCTCTCTCTTCCTCTCTCTCCCTCCCACTCTGTCTGAACAGAAAATGGAAAAATGTCCTCAGGTGAGGATAAAAAAAAAGAAACCCTTGTGTTTTGATGATGGATATGTAAAATAGTGTAGCACTTTGGGAAAACTTTGGTGATTCCTTAAAAAGTCAAACATAGAATTACCATGTGATGAAGTAATGCCACTTCTAATTATATACCCAAAAGAATTGAAAGCAGGGACTCAAACAGATACTTGTACAACAATGTTTTTTTTTGTTTGTTTGTTTTTGTTTTATCCTCACTGGAGGACATTTTTCCATTCTTTGTTCAGATAGAGTGGGAGGGAGAGAGAGGAAGAGAGAGAGAGAAACATTGATGTGAAAGAGACACATCGAGTGGTCGCCACCCGTAAGACCCAACCAGGGCTGGGGACAAACTGCAACCGAGGTACGTGCCCTTAGCGGGAACCGAACCGGGTCTCTCTGGACCGCAGGCCGACGCTCCAACCGCTGAGCCAAACCGGCCAGGGCACAACAATGTTCATGGTAACATTATTCATAATAGCAAAAGGTGGAAACGAGCCAAAATGTCCATTGGCAGATGAGCGAATAAACAGAATGTGGTTTATACATACAACTGACTATAATTCAGCCTTCAAAAGCCTGAAATTCTGGTACATACTCCAACATAGAAATGTTATGTTAAGTGAAAGATACCAGACAAAAAAATCAAATATTGTACAATTCCACTTAACACGTGGTACCTAGAAAAGACAAATCATAGAGACAGAAAGGTAGAACAGAGGTTAGCGGGGGCTAGGGGGAGGGGGAAATGGGAATTATTGTTTAATGGGTATGGAGTTAGGAAAATGAAAATGTTCTGGAAATGAATAGTGGTAATGGTTGCACAATATTGTGAATGTACTTAATGCCACTGAATAGTATACTTAAAAAATGATTTAAATGGTAAATTATGTTATATATATGTATATATATATGTATATATATTCTTTGTTTGTTTTTGTTAATTTTCACCTGAGTATATTTTCCCATTGATTTTTAGAGTGGAAGGGAGGGAGGGTTGGAGAGAAAGAGAGGAGAGAGACATCGATGTGAGAGAGACACATCGATTGGTTGCCTCCAGCACGACCCTGGGAAGGGATCAAACCTGCAACCCATGTACGTGCCCTTGAACAAGAATAACCTGAGACCCAAACCAGCCAGGGCTATGTTATGTATATTTTAACACACACACAGTGCTGTGCAGTGTTGGAGTGTCCATCTTGTTCCACCAGTATTTTAGTGCCTAACCATACAGTAGTGAAAAAACTATTCAAAAAATAGTTCTGAAATAACTGGGAAGTGATGTGGTTTAAAAGTTAGCTATTATGTTAGGCAAGTCTTTTTCTTCATGGAGTTTACGATCTGGAAGGAGTGGAGCGGTAACACAGCATTTAAAATAGTCACAGGGAATGCCCGGCCGGTGTGGCTCAGTGGTGGAGTGTGGACCCTGCACCAAGAGGTCGCTGGTTCGATTCCCAGTCAGGGCACATGCCCAGGTTGTGGGCCTGATCCCCAGTGGGAGGCATGCAGGAGGCGGCCAGTTGATGTTCTCTCTAATCGATGCTTCTCTCTTTCTCTCGCGCTCCCTTCCTCTCTCTCTAAAACCAATAAAGAAAAAATAAAATAAAATAGTCACAGGGAAATAAAGTATGGCATAGGGAATATAGTCGATAACATTGTAATAACTATGTAGGGTGCCAGGTGGATACTAGAATTACTGGGGAGATCATTTTGTAAATTATGCATTTATTTAACTAGTATGCTGTACACTTGAAAATACTATAAAATGATATTGACTGTCAATAGTAATTGGAAAATAAAATAAAACCAATGAGGACAAGATGGATCATTCAAAAAATAGTTCTGGAATAACTGGGAAGTGATGTGGTTTAAAAGTTAGCTATTGTGTACGGCTTTTACACGAAAATTAATTAAAGATGGATCAAAGATTTACATGCATAACACAAAACCATGAAAATGCTAGAGGAATTCATGGGAGAATTGCTTTTTGCCTTTTAAAATAGTAGGTCTCTCATATTCCGTTCTCATCTCTCAGTATTGGTCTTTTGAAGTGTTCTACTTTAATAAAAAAATTATTTTTTATTTATAGGTGATGTACAATATTATATTATTTTCAGGTGTACAACGGTATGATTAGACATTTATATAACGTACATAGTGATCACCCTGATAAATCTAGTACCCATCTGGCACCATACAGCGTTATGACAATATTACTGACTGTGTTCCCTGTGCTGTACTTTACCTCCCTGTGACTGCTCTGTAACTACCGATTTGTACCTCTGAATCCCTTCACTTTTTTCACACATCCCCCCAAACCCCCTCCCATCTGGCAACCATCAATGTTCTCCGTATCTATGAGTCTGTTTCTGTTCTGCTCCTTCATTTCTTTTGCTTTTTAGATTTCAAATATAAGTGAAATCATCTGGTATTAGTCTTTCTCTCTCTGACTTACCTCACTCAGTGTAATACCCTCTAGATCCATGCCTGTAGTTGTAGATGGCAAGGTTTTATTCTTTTTGATGGCTGGATCATATTCTTGTGTATGTATGCACCACGTTTTTTTATCCATTTATCTGTTGATGGACACTTAGGTTGCTTTCATATCTTGGCTACTGTAAATGATGCTGCAGTGAACATATGGATGTATATATCTTTCAATTTAGTGGTTTGAGTCTCTTTGAATAAATACTCAGAAGTGGAATTACTGGTCCTTCATTGTCTCTTGTTATAGTCTTTGTTGGAAAGTTTACTTTGTCTGGTATAAGTATTGCTACCCAGCTTTTGTTTGTTTCCATTTTCATGAAATATCTTTTTTTTTTTTTTTTATCCTCACCTGAGGACATTTTTCCATTTTTTGTTCAGGTAGAGTGGCAGGGAGAGAGAGGAACAGAGAGAGAGAGAGAGAAACATCGATGTGAAAGGAACACATCGAGTGGCTGCCACCCGCACAACCGACCAGGGCCGGGGACAAACTGCAGCCGAGGTACGCGCCCTTAGCGGGAACTGAACCTGGGTCTCTCAGGACCGCAGGCCGACGCTCTAACCGCTGAGCCAAACCAGCCAGGGCTGAAATATCTTTTTCCATACTTTTACTTCCAGTCTGTTTGTGTCTTAATCTGAAGTGAGCTTCTTGTAGGCAGCATATGCAAAGGTCTTGTTATCCATTCAGCCACCATGTGTCTTTTGATTGGAGCATTTAATCCATTTGCATTTAAAGTAATTAATTATAGCCCAGCTGGTGTGGCTCAGTAGTTGAGCACTGACCCATGCACCAAGAGGTCGCTGGTTCGATTCCTGGTTCAGGGCACATGCCCAGGTTGTGGGCCAAATCCCCAGTGGGGGGCGTGCAGGAGGCAACCAATCGATGTTCTCTCTCATCGATGTTTCTATCTCTCTCTCCCTCTCCCTTTTCCTCTCTTTAAAATCAATAAAGAAAAATTATAAAAAAATAAAGTATTTAATTATATAGTTATTGCCACTTTATTATTCATATTTTGATTCTTCTCCTCCCCCCCTCTTCTTTTCCCCCTCCTCCCCCTCCTCCTTTCTTTACATTTCTTGTAATACTTGTTTGATGGTATGAACTCCTTGAACTTTTTCCTGTCTGGGAAGCTCTTTATGTGTCATTTAATTCTAAATGATAGCTTTGGGGTAGAGTAATCTTGGTTGTAGGTCCTTGCTCTTCATCACTTTGAATATTTTTTGCCAATCACTTCTGACCTGCAAAGTTTCGGTTGAGAAATCAGCTGACAGTTTTGTGGGAATTCCCTAGTACTGTATGTAACTAACTGCTTTTCTCTTACTGCTTTTAAGATTCTCTCTTTGTTTTTAATCTTTGGCATTGTTTTTAATATTCACCTTAAGATATTTTTCCATTTATCTTCAGATAGAGTGGGAGGGAGGGGGGAGAGAGAGAGAGAGAGAGAGAGAGAGAGAGAGAGAGAGAGAGAGAAACACTGATGTGAGAGAGACACATCGATTGCTTGCCTTCCACATGACCCCGACCAGGGCTGGGGACCAAAATGCAACCAAGGTATGTGCTCTTGGCCGAAATTGAACCTGCAACTCTTTGGTCCGAGGGCTAACACTCCAACCGCTGAGCCAAACTGGCCAGGGCTTTTGCATTTTCATTATGATGTGTCTTGGTGTGGGTCTCTTTGGGTTCATCTTGTTTGGGACTCTCTGTGCTTCCTGGACTTGTACATTTCCTTCACCAGGTTAGGGAGGTTTATTATTATTATTTTTTCAAGTAGGTTTTCAATTTCTTGCTCTCTCTCTTCCTTTTTCTCCATTCCCATGATGTGAATGCTGGTACTCTAGAAGTTATCCTAGAGGCTCCTTACATTATCCTATTTTTTGGATTTTCTTTTTCTTTTTGCTGTTCTGATTGGTTGTTTCCTGCTACCTTATCTTCCAAATCGATGATTTGCTCCTCTGCTCCATCTACTCCACTGTTGATTCCTGTAATGTAGTCTTCATTTCAGTTAGTGTATTTTAAATTTCTGACTGGTTCTTTTTTATGTTTCCTAGTTCTGTTATAACCCAGTAATTCTCCATCTCCTAGAAGAAGGAACCTCTCCTGGGTTCCTTGAACCCGAGTTGTTTTTGCAAAAATTCTTGAAGAGGAAAGTATACATCAGCCATGACCACGAGGGTATTGACCATGAGCTTAACTAATCAGGAGATACCAGATGGGGCAATGAGACATTCAAGGCTGGGGTCTAGTAAATGTTAAGAAATATAAAATAAACAACTTGTGCAGTTACTAACTGCTGATATCTGCTTCTGTACACGTAGCTTGCTTGCCCTGCTAAACTCTTGAGTAACCCCTGTCCTATATAAGCAACCCTCCCCCTGAGCTCGGGGCTGCAGTTCTCCTCTGTGTAGGTTGGCTGCAGTCCCTGCACAGGTAATAAAGCTCCTAATATTCAAAATTACTTGATAGTGAGGATGACTCTCCTAGGTTACAACAGTTCCATTTTTATGTTTCCTGTCTCTTTGTTGAAGCTCTAAATTCTTCTACTCCTCCCCTATGTTTATTGAGCATCCTTATCACCAGTGTTTTGAACTCTGCATCTGGTAGTTTTGTTTTGTCCTTTCATTTGGGACATGCTTTTTTGTCTCCTCATTTTAGCTGCCTCCCTGTATTTGTTTCTATGTATTAGGTAGAGCTGTTATGTCTCCTAGTTTTGGTAGAGTGGCCTAACATGGTAGGTGTCCTTTGGGACCTGGTGGTGCAGCCTCCCTGTTCACCTGAGCTGGGCATTCCAAGTGTGCCCCCACCACTGCGTGGGCTGCATGCACCCTCCTATTGTAGTTGAGCCTTAATTGTTGTTGGGATGTCAATCAGGGGGATTTACACCCAGGTCGATCATCTGTGAGGACTGACCGGCTGTGTGGATTGGTTACTGCCAGGACTGGCCACACCCACCATGGAGGATCTGCGGTGTAGGGGCTGACCCCATGGTGCAGAACTCACTGCAGCAGGGCGCAGGTGCCCACCAAGTCCACACCTTGAGCGTGTCGCTTGTGCAGGTGTCTGACTAGTGCTTCAGCATCGTCTGAAGCTGTGCACTAGGTGCGCTGCCCCAAGGTCAGCAGCTGCCGTGAGCTTCCAGGGGCGCCTGGCATGAGTTTCGAAGCCATCTGCAGATGGCTGCTACTTGTGCTGGGCTTGGAGGTGCCCGGGAGAGGCCACGCTCTGAACCAGGCTGACTGCTGCTAGTACCAGGCCTGGGGCTGCTTAGCTGCGGTGCGGGGTACACTGAGGCCAGATGCCGTTTGAGACACGCCATTTGTATGGAAAAGCCACTGGGAAGGGACTGGGCGAGTCTGATAGCTGGGTGGGGTGGGCTCAGAATCACCAGGGCAGGTTATAGCAAGTTATACCTCCATATCATTATTAAAAACATTTTTTTCTTTATTAATTTTTTTTAGATAGAGGAAGGGAGAGGGAGAGAGATAGAAACATCGATGAGAGAGAACATCAACTGGCAGCCTCCTGCACGCCCCCCACTGGGGATCGGGCCACAACCTGGGCACGTGCCCTGACCGGGAATGGAACCGGTGACTTCTGGGTGCAGGGTGGACGCTCAACCACTGAGCCACACCGGCCGGGCAATACAATTATTTTTTAAAATGACGTGTATACAATGTTAGTGATCGCAGCATTCATTGTAAGAGCAACGGATTGGAGCCAACTTAAATGTCCATCAGTAGAGGGCTGGTTAAGCAGGTTATAATGCATCTGTGCAACGTGGCTGCATCGAAAAGAGGCTTGTTTATACGCTGGTATAAAACATTCTCAGGTGTTCTTAGGAAAAAAGGGCAAGATGTATAGTGCGGTACTATGTGTGAAGAAAGGAGAACGGAGAAAATGTGTACTTAAGAATTTGCTTACGTGTGCTTAGAATACCTCTGATATAGAATACATTATAGATCTTATAGAGATATATTAAAAACTTGTATATTGTTTGCCTATGAAGAGGGCAACTGGGAGGCTGCAGATGGACGCAGAGGGAGACATTTAACTGCATGTTTGACTCACGGGAATTATGATTGATACAAAAAGTAAATTAAAGATGAAAACTTAAAAATTTGTGTTCAAATAGAGGAGGCTATTGACCTTTTCATTTTTCTTTTACAGCAAAATCGCTTCCTAGTAGGTGGTACTCCTGAAACACCGTACATAGTTTCACTTTACTTTTATTTTAACCTGAAAAAAACCCCAGATTCGCTCGGATGGGTTTTCTTCTCCATTTGTCACCCGTCGGAGCTCCGGGGCCAGTTTTCGAGCTGAACGTCTGTGCGGGGAGCGCTCCAAGTGTATCGCTTTGTTTCTGAGAAGTGATAGGAGGGAGAATACCTGGATTAAACACAAAGTTACAACTGGTTCAGAAAACCAGATAATGCTTGTGCCCTGTTTTCCTGATGGAAACTTCTGATGGACTGATTGACTGAAAAGTTAACATAGATCAATGGTTCTCAACGAAGGGACATTTGCTGTATGTGGAGATATTTTTGGTTGTCCAAATGGGGGTACTGCGGACATCTGGTGAATAGAGGCCAGAGAGGCTGCTAAAAACCCTACAGTGCACCGGACAGTACCCCCACCACAAAGAATTCTCTAGAGCAAATGTTAATAGTGTGGATGTTGAGAAACCTTCATATAGAAATAAGATTACTATTCAGCTTTCTTGTTCTGAGAGGATTTAAAGGTACATACAGCTTTCATATTTTCTTAGGCCAAGAAAATTAGCACTGGCCCCCGTTTTTCAAAATGGGCCCCCACAACCACCCCCACCGCACCTGATCTTTATAGCCGTTTGGGAAAAGGAGATCGACGTGGCAGCACTCAGGAGAGCAGGTGACGGCAAAGGCACTGTCTCAGAATCAGTGTTGAAGGACATACCTGCTGAGTCCTGAGCTCAATTTTTCTTCAGTTGGTTTCCTTGGAGGTGGCTGTATTGGTCATCTTCTCGATCCTTGAGGGGCTAAAAAGGACAGCAGAATCATAAGAGTTTCCTCTTATCCTTCATGAATTAATTGAATGCATATTTATTGAGTGCTTTTTATGTGCAAGGCTTTGAAGTGGGTGATTTGTGGTCCTGGGGGCAAAAAGATGGAAGTTCTGTGTATACTTTCCCCCTCAGATGTTCTTTGATTTTTTTTTCACCAGATCCTGACTTCAGTCTCTCTCAACCCTTCTTATTTCATCCGTTCTACCCAAAGAGATAACTATGCCCTCATCCGGTATGTCCTACGCAGTTTCTTACCTATAGAGTATCTTCCAAAAAACTCTCCCCCGCCCCCATTCCAAAATTCTAAACCACCACTAATTGTAGCAATGTCCGCCGTTCCTCATCCCCTTACCTGGTAGAGCTGGTCATTGGACAACAGGTTCTGCTTGTCTGAAGCTGGACAAAAGATAAACAACACACACACACAAAGTAGAATGGATAATACATTGGGTTATATTCACACGATGGAATACTAAATAACAATAGGAATTAGTGAAATGCACCTATGTACAAGAATATGAATGGATATCACAAGCATATTGTTGGGTAAAAGAAGTCACTCACAAGAGTACTTACTGAGTCCATTTACGTAAGGCACAAAAACAGGCAACTTCAATCAATGTAAGTGCTCACTTTTAGGGACAGGGAGAGTCTCGAAGTGACCACTAGGGGGACTTCTGAGGTGTTGGTGATATTCTTGCTTCAACTGGGTGCTGGATTAATGGGTATGCTTGCTTTATTAAAAATTTTTTTGAGCTGTATGCTTGTGATTCATGCACCTTTCTGGATGTAGGTTTTACTTCAATAAAGAGTTTTATAAGCCCTGGCCGGTTTGGCTCAGCGGTCGAAGCGTCGGCCCGCGGACCAGAGAGTCCCGGGTTTGGTTCCCGCTAGGAGCACGTACCAAAAAAAAAAAATAAAATAAAAAGAGTTGTATAAAAACACAGAGGGAGTTGGATCTTGAGACAGAGAAGTACTCCGTGAAAACGCCCTGCCTGTCCCTTCTGACCACAGAGAGGGCCTTACCAGCCACGCTCACTAGCAGCTTGTACCAGCGCAGTCGCTTGGGACTATTTCGGTTGGAAGAGAGCTGAGGGTCCCAGCTGGCTTCACATCTCATCTAAGAACATCCTTTTACCTCTCGACTGGCGAACTGCATCCTGTCCAGCAATGACGTACACCCCAACGGCCAGGAAGAAAATGCTGATGATTTCGGCGAAGACAAAGCCAGACACGGTGGGAGCGTTCAGCTCAATGCAGTTCTGACACACTGTCGGGAAAAGGGGGTGGGGCGGGGGGGCAAGTCTACTTCAGGGTGTGAAAGTTGTTTTTCTGGGTCCTTTTCTCCTGCCTACCAGCAATGACACCTTCGTCTAGCTAGGGCAACAGCCTGCTCCCTCTGAGTTGTAGGGCGAGGGAATTGCCTGGGGAGATCCTTGGCCTAAGAACACGACGCTTCTTGATGTTCCTCTCTCCCCCAGGAACCCTGGGGAACCCCAAGAAGCCTTATTCCTGGACCTATGCGACACAAGAAAGACCAGGCCGCTTCTCCGTGCTCAGTTGCTTTTCTGCATCTCACCTTGAGCCCTCCCATCTCCCCTACCCACCCGAAGTCAGTTTATAGAAACTGCTGACTGGGCCAATCCAGGGGCCCACACAAAGGTAAACCAGGCTTTTGGGACGGCTCTGCTTTACCAAGAAGCTGGAAGAGCTGTCTTGTGAGAGGAAAGGAAAGACACGCTGAGATGAAGGGAACTGGCTGCCTGGCACCCCTTTGATCACTGTCTAGCATCGATTTTCACACTCATTCTGGACAGCACATCGCCGACAGCAAGCCCCGCTCACTTTCACAGCAAGCAAACCCAAAGCGATCACATACGTCTGTAATACACTTGGAGCGGCTTTGAAGTTCTGTTGAGATAGCGGCACCAATACGTCCCTCGAGGGTCCTTCAAGCTACTTCCCAGGTTCCATGTACCTTCATTTGCAGTTACTTCCTTCCCATCTTTAAACCATGTCAGACCGTCACCTTTCAAGTTACAAGTCAGGAGTACTGACCCATCTTCTTGATTATCATCCAGTGTTACCGACTGTTGTTCTGAAAAGGGAAAAGCCAGGGTCTAGTCAGGATCTAACCTCTGAAATTCTTTCTACCCCAGGGTATCGGAAGACCTTTACGGCAGTGCTTCTCAAACCTTAATGTTTGAACGTAAATGTTAATTAATGCTTTAAAAATAAATTACATGGGAATCTAATTAGTACTTCTGGGGAAGGGCTGAGATTCTACATTTCTGTTTTCTTTTTCTAAAATATGTTTTATTGATTTTTTATGGAGAGAGGAAAGGAGAGAGAGACACACAGCAGCGTGAGAGAGAAACATCAATCAGCTGCCCCCTGCACGCCCCCTACTGGGGATCAAGCCTGCAACCTGGGCATGTGCCCTGACCAGGAATCAAACCTCTCGGTCCATGGGATGACACTCAATTCACTGAGCCACACTGGCTGGGCAGAATCTACGTTTCCAACATGCTCCCAGCTAATGGCAATGCTGTTGGTTCATGAGTAACATTTTTTTTTTAAAGTTTTTTTCTTTATTGCTTTTTTAGAGAGAGAGGAAGGGAGAGGGAGAGAGAGAGAGAAACATGGATGAGAGAGAACATTGATTGGCTGCCTCCTGCACGCCCCCTACTGTGGATCAGACCCACAACCTGGGCATGTGCCCTGACTGGGAATTGAACCGGTGACCTCTGGGTGCATGGGTCAGTGCTCAACCACTGAGCCACACCGGCCGGGCTCATGGGTAACATTTTGAGTAGTGCCTAGCTACTAAGGTCCTGTTTCTCCTTCAAGAATCAGACAATTAACTGCTGGTCATGACTGGCCACTGAGTTGGCTGACAATGGAGAGGTTTGATATTTATCTTGCATCATCTTATCCAGAACTACTGTTGTAGGAAGCCATCTTTCTATGAATTTCCCCAGAGTTTGAGCAGAGAAAGAAGCCATTTCCCTACCTTGTTCCACCTGGGCAGTGGTACCTGTAGGGACAGAAGAGAGACAGAGGATCAGCCGGGCGTGGAGTTAGGCAGATGCCCCGGGGCATCATTTACGTGGGCATCGGAGGCCAAGACGAGGAGAGATGCTCATCCACAGGAGCAGCAGCATCTATACCTACATCTCTGGATTGTTAACCTAAGTCACCAGATTGAATTCAGGGTGTCGTGTGACGATGAGTTTGTCTGCTCTCTGTCATGAGCTCCCGGGAGGGAGTTTCTCAACCCTCGGAATTTCAAGAGTGCCTTTGCTCTTCTTGGTGGGCCGTTGGAGCCTAGGTGAGTTTATACTAACGAGATGATTCAGGATGGGGCTGGTGAAGACCAACCACGTGACTAAGAATTGGGACTTCGAGCTCTGGGGGGAGGAGCACTGGAGATTGAGTTTAGTCACATGGCCAATGATTCAGTTAATCATGCCTGTGTAATGAAGCTCCAATAAAAACTCAGTAGAGTGCCCAGCTGCTGTGGCTCAGTGGCTGAGCATCGACCCCTGCACCAAAAGGTCGCCAGTTTGATTCCCGGTCAGGGCACATGCCCAGGTTGTGGGCCCGATCCCCAGTGGGGGGCATGTAGGAGGCGGCCAATCAATGTCCTCTCTTATTGATGTTTCTATCTCTCTCTCCCTCTCCCTTCCTCTCTCTCTAAATCAATAAGGAAAAAAAAAGTTGAAAAGCAAACTTGGGCCCTGGCCAGTTTGGCTCAGCGGTTAGAGCGTCGGCCTGTGGTCCAGAGAGACCCGGGTTCGGTTCCCGCTAAGGGCATGTACCTCGGTTGCAGTTTGTCCCCGGCCCTGGTTGGTCGTGTGGGTGGCAGCCACTCAATGTGTCCCTTTCACGTCGATGTTTCTCTCTCTTTCACTCTCTTCCTCTCTCTCCCTCCCATTCCGTCTGAACAAAAAATGGAGGAATGTCCTCGGGTGAGGATAAAAAAAAAAAAGCAAACTCAGTGGAGCTTCCTGGCTGTGACCACACCAGTGTCCAGGAAGGTGATGCGTCCTGGTTCCATGGGGACAGGCACAGAACTGTGTTCAGGGGCCTCCCACACCCCATGCGGTGTGTCTCTTCATTTGGCTAGTCCTGATTTTACTCTTTATAACAAAACTGCAGTAGTAAGTCTAGTGCTTTTCTGAGTTCTGTGAGTTGTTCTAGCAAATCAGCAGACCCCGAGGGGGTCGTGGGAACCCTCCAGATCTGTATCCTGTTCATTAGAAGTGGGTGTTCTGGAGACCCCTGAACTCATGCCTGGCATTTAAAGTGAAGGCAGTCTTACTGGCGACCGTGCCCTTAACCTCTGGGGTCTGCTGCTAACTCTCAGCGTTAGAATTGCGCTGCAGTATAAGTAAGGGCATGACCTTCGCAGTCTGGAACATGCTGCCTCTTTATTTTATTTATTTATTTCCTTTATTGATTTTTAGAGAGAGAGGAAGGGAGAAGGAGAGAGAGAGGAACATTGATGATAGAACATCAATTGGCCTCCTGCATGCCCTCCACTGGGGATCTGGCCCACAACCTGGGCATGTACCTTGACTGGGAATCGAACTGGCGACCCCTTGGAGCAGGGTCAATGCTCAACCACTGAGCCACACCAGCCGGGCCACCTGCCACTTTAGCAGCTGAAGCCCCGGCAAGGAGTGAGGAGTGTGCACCGGTTCAAACCTTTTCGAGCTGAGTTACTTTGGAGATTTTCAGGTCCAACGATTCATGTCTTGTAGAAACCCAGACTGTCCCACGGGAATTAGCGATTCAACAGATCTCAAACCTGTCTCCAAACCCAGAGCAGCAGGGCTGTGTGGTAGGACTCCCACGAGAACGAGCCCTGGACTCCAGCCCCGTTGGGTTTGATTCGAACGTCTCCTGGGCACTGGTGTGTTCCCGACGCGACTACGCAGTGGGAAAGGAGGGGCTGGTGACAGGAGGAACCGCTTGCTGCTTCCAAAGAGCTCACAGTGAGGTGGACAAAACAAGCAGGCGTGTCGTGAATGGAGTAGAACGTAAATGATCATTTGGTACTTCTACGAATACCTGTGAAAGAGGGTACACGCGATTGCTTTTGCCCCAAGGTGAGTGACAGGGAAAGTTAACAGAGAGGAACTCACCAGGCAGAGAAAGTTATTCTGGGTAAAAAAAAAAAAATAGGTAAGCAAAGACACAGACTTTGAAAAGACAAGAGAGATAGTCGTATGCCTAGAGGGAGACATAGGACATGAGTCAAGTATGACGAAAACAGTTGGAAGGTGTCAACTGTCTTAGAACGTCACTCAAGGCTGAACTCTTTTTTTTTTTTTTTTAATCATCACCCAAGGACATTTTTCCATTTTTGTTCAGATAGAGTGGGAGGGAGAGAGAGAGAGAGAAACATCGACGTGAAAGGGACACATCGAGTGGCTGCCACCCGCACGACCAACCAGGGCCGGGGACAAACTGCAACCGAGGTACGTGCCCTTAGCGGGAACCGAACCCGGGTCTCTCTGGACCGCAGGCCGACGCTCTAACCGCTGAGCCAAACTAGCCAGGGCTCAAGGCTGAACTCTTTATGAACAGTCCCCAGCACAGTGCTTGGAACACAACAGGAGCTTGATATTTGTCGAAGAGATGCATAGATAAACAAGTGAGAAAAAAAAATTTAAAAAGCAAGACAAACACTTAAGCAGATTTCTCACTTGCTCTTCTCCACAACCACCTACTCACTAGAGGAGGGACAAACAGGTCCCTCGTTTTAATTCAGGCTCCATAGGAAAGAGGGTCCAACTGATTGCTGACACCTTTTTATTTTGCTTCTCTGAATCCTGCTTCCTTTTGGGACTTGCGAACTCATGTAGCCAAATGACCTAGGTGGGCTGCCCGGAGGGAGCAGGCATCGGCCAGGTTCACGCAGCTCATTGGTGGCTGAGCTCAGGTTTCTATCTGCATTGCCTGGGCTGTCTTCCTGCACTCCCCTCGGAAGCAGTGCTAAGCTCTCTCTGTCCCCTCAGCCCTCCCCTCAGCCACCACCCAGCTCCGCTTCAGCAGGTGGCGTAGCCTCCCTTAGTTTGTTGAGAACACAGATGCTGTAAGCGCCCTTCCTCCTGCAGCTTTTTCATGCACAAGCCTATGTTCTAGCCTCCGAGAGGGCGAGGTTGCCTTCCCCTCGACCCGCTCTCGACTCTATCCTTTTAACATCGACTCCAGAACCCCACTCCATTCACTGCCTTCTCCTTTGTAGCCTAGAAATGGGCTCAAATTTATTTCACAGGCAAAACTTTCTTCTTAGACACTGCTCCCCCCCCCCCCCCAGTCACCACGCAAACTCTTCTTCCTTCTCGTCCAAACTTCTTTAAAAAATAGTCCTCAGTGGCCCAGGCCAGTTTGGCTCAGCAGTTAGAGCGTTGGCCTGCGGTCCGGAGAGACCCGGGTTCGGTTCCCGCTAAGGGCACGTACTTCGGTTGCAGTTTGTCCCCGGCCCTGGTTGGTTGTGCGGGTGGCAGCCACTCGATGTGTCTCTTTCGCATCGATGTTTCTCTCTCTCTCTCTCTTTCTCTCTCTCCCTCCCACTCTTTCTGAATATAAATGCAAATATATCCTCAGGTGAGGATAAAAAAAAAAAAGTCCCCAGTGGCTTCTCTTTATCATCTGCCCCTCCCCCTTTCACTCATGTCCATTTGGCTTCGATTCACTCCAAGGAAACTGCTCTAAACCACCCGTGACTTTAATTTGCCAAATCCCACGAACTTCAACTGATACCTATATTCGTACATGAGTGGGTGGCTCTTGAACATTTCACGCTCTCAGCGGATTTCTCCGTTTGGAAGCTCTCCACGTCGTTGGTTTCCATCGAATTGGAATCATTTATTATTCCAGCTCTTTGATCCTCCCCTTAGCTCCTTCCAGAGATTTCCCCTCCAACTATCCCTTCAAGGTTGGTGACCTCGCAGTTCCATCCTCAGCCCCTCTTCCTCATCTCTGACATAGTGCTGGTGTGATTTCAGCCCCTCTCATGGAGTTAGCTCCCTCCCCTGTGTGAAGAGCCATCGAGCCCAGACTCTAAGCACTGGCCCAGTTCACCCACTTGCTGTTGGACATTTACAACTGAGTATTCCCGCAGGCGTCTTTTTTTTTTTTTTATCGTATCTTACACTCAATCTGACAACACTGAAAATCATTTCTCTAATTTGTTTATGAGTTCTTTAGGGCAGCAAGTTTTTTCTAAAGCTCTTTTAATTGATTTTTTTTTTTTTTTTGAGAGAGAGACAGAGAGAGAGAGAATCATCAATCAATTGCCTCTGGCATGCACCCTGACCAGGGATCGAATCCCCCAACCTGGGTATGTGCCCTGACTGGGAATCTAACCCACCACCTTTTGGTGTACAGGACGGTTTTCTTTCTTTCTTTTTTTTTTTTTAATCCTCACCCGAGGGCATTTTTCCATTTTTTGTCCAGATAGAGTGGGAGGGAGAGAGAGGAAGAGAGAGAGAGAGAAACATCGATGTGAAAGGGACACATCGAGTGGCTGCCACCCACACGACCAACCAGGACCGGGGACACACTGCAACCGAGGTACGTGCCCTTAGCGGGAACCGAACCCGGGTCTCTCCGGACCTCAGGCCGACGCTCCAACCGCTGAGCCAAACCGGCCAGGGCTACAGGACAGTTTTCCAACCAACTGAGTCACACCGGCCAGGGCAGTGCAGGTGTTAATTTATCTTTACATCTTCCTAGCCTGTTACATAACAGGAGCTCACCCGTAGTTGCTGACCAGTTGATGGACGGACCAACTGGGTGAATGCTTCAGGGTCTACTCCTAACCACAGCTCGGAGTTAAAAGCACATGTCTTTTCTTTCAGGTTCCTGGCCTGTGCCCTTTTGGGCTACATTCAAACCTAAGATGGTGGCGTCCTGGTTCTCTCTGGAGCCAGCTAAGTTCTCTGATTTGACTTCTCAGGAGACGGAGGGCCCCATCTCTCTCCTGGGACACCGTTTCCCTCTAACAGGGAGTAGCAAGAAGCTTCGTTTCTGCTCCGCTGTCTCTGAGCTCTCAGGTGACAGCCGAGGCAGACGCAAGGTCAGGGGTCCCAATATTCTTTTTTTTTTTTTTATCCTCACCCGAGGATATTTTTCCATTTTTTGTACAGATAGAGCAGAGGGAGAGAGAGGAAGGGAGAGAGAGAGAGAAACATCGATGTGAAAGGGACACATCGAGTGGCTGCCACCCGCACGACCAACCAGGGCCGGGGACAAACTGCAACCGAGGTACGTGCCCTTAGCGGGAACCGAACCCGGGTCTCTCTGGACCGCAGGCCGACGCTCTAACCGCTGAGCCAAACTGGCCAGGGCGAGGGGTCCCAATATTCTTGACCCCTGGTGGTGTCTTCCCTCGAGTCTTTCTTCAGGCGGCCAGACCCCCTCGTGGGCCCTTACCTTGGAGAAGAGAGAGAGCCAGGATGAGGCCAGCCAGATGCTTCCCCTGCTCCATGTCAGCTTCTGTCCTTCTCTTGCCGAAGCGACGAGCGGCCTCGATCAGCCAGGCGCCTGCGCAGTAGCTAGCTTGGCTCCACCCAGCATCCTTCGGGTTGGGGCCCCTGCTAGAGGCAAGAACCCAGAGCCTCCACCCTCGGCTTCCCGTGTGGGCAGCTGGAGCCTCAGCAGGGCTGCAGGTGCAAAAGTCTTTGGCTTTTCCGTTGAGGAGGGAAGGGTGGGAGGAGGTGAGGAGAGAGAGAGAACTGGATTCCCATCTCCGAGACTCTGGCTCACATGCAGAATAGCCTTGGGTGCGGGGAGTCAACGGCCTGGGTTAACCCCTTTTCTCACGAGAGAGGTAAAGGTCTCTGACACCATCCATCGCCGGCATCTCAGCCAGTTATGGCTTGTTCCTGGGTGTTGCTAGAACTGATGATTTAGGTGGGCTGGGGCTCTGACAAGAAAGCCACCTCAGTCCAGGTCCTCACTCCGGAAGTTTTTTTGTTTTTTAAAGTGATGCTCTGGACGTGTTTTTTTTTTTTTCTCCTTTATTGACTTTAGAGAGAGAGGAAGGAAGAAGAAGGAGAGAGAGAAACATCCATGTGAGAGAACGTCGATTGGCCGCCTCCTGCACGTCCCCACTGGGGACTGGGCCCACAACCTGGGCATGTGCCCTGACCAAGAATCGAAATGGCAACCTCTTGGTGCAGGGTCGACGCTCAGCCACGGACCACACTGGCCGGGCTCAGGAAGTTTTTAGTATCTTTTTGAGATGATATGATCAAAGGAGTGCGTGCCTGGAAGGAGACAGGGAGGACAATTCTGACAAGCAGGCCATGCACTGCCAAGAACCAGGACCTGAGTTGAGTTTCCAAGATCTCAGGGCCTTATCTCCTCCTGCCGGTCAGTCAGCGAGTCAATAAAAATGGACGGAACTCTTGTCATGTGCCAGGCACAAGCCAGGTGCCGGAAACACAGAATCAAGTGAGACATACCTGATCTCTGCCCTCAGATAAATTACAGTCCAACAATGTCAGTGTAGAGAGTTTCTGGTCCCCATAGGCCACAGGGAGAAAAAGTGCATTGTCTCCTGGGAAGGCTCAACTTTGCCTGCGAGTCAATCATATTGTCATTAATAACGATTTCTATTGAGCACATACGATGTGTCAAGCATCATGCACACATTTTGTTCAAATTTTTATTAAGAATGAAGAATACATCAGAGCACAACAACAGCAGATTAAAGGAAACAGAAAACTGAATCAATGATTTAGCAGGTAAATCCAGCCGGTGTGGCTCAGTGGATTGAGTGTTGTTGTTCTATGCACCAAGAGGTCATTGGTTTGATTCCCAGACAGGGCACATGCCTGGGTTGCGGGCTAGATTCCCAGTAGGGGGTATCCAAGAGGCAGCCTATCAATATTTCTTATGGATGTTTCTCTCGCTTAAAAAAACAATAGAAACATATTTAAAACAATTTTTTTAAATCCTCACTGGAGGACATTTTTGCATTCATCTTCAGATAGAGTGGGAGGGAGAGAGGGAGCGAGAGAGGGAGAGAAACATTGATGTGAGAGAGACACATTGAGTGGTTGCCATCCACATGACTTCCATCAGTGCCGGGGACAAACTGCAACCAAGGTACGTGCCCTTAGTGGGAACTGAACCCGGGACTCTCTGGTCTGTGGGCCAACACTCTAACTGCTGAGCCATACCGGTCAGGGCTAAAATTTTTTTTTAAAGATAGCAGAAAACACCAGATCAGAACAGCAAAAAGAAAAAAGTAATTTAAAAAATGAAGATAGCCCAGATGGTGTGGCTCAGTGGATTGAGCATTGCCCCATGGACTGAGAGGTCACGGTTTGATTCCCGGTCAGGGCACATGCCTGGGGTTTCAGGCTCGATCCCCAGTGAGGGGCATGCAGGAGGCAACCGATTAATGTTTTTCTCTCACATAGCTGTTTCTCTCTCTCTCTCCCTTCCTCTCTCTCTAGAAAATCAATAAAAACATATTTAAAAAAATCAAGATAGTTTAAGGGACCTCTGGGACAACATAAAGAGTAACAACATTCACATCGTGGGGGTCCAGAAGGAAAAGAGAAAGAGCAAGGGATTGAAAATCTATTTAGAGAAATAATGATGAAAAACTTCCCGAACCTGGTGAAGGAAACAGACACACAAGTCCAGGAAGCACAGAGTCCCAAACAAGATGAACCCCAAGAGGCCCACGCCAAGACACATCATCATCAAAATGCCAAAGGTTAAAGACAAAGAGAGAATCTTAAAAGCAGCAAGAGAAAAGCAGCTAGTTACCTACAAGGGAGCTCCCATAGGACTGTCAGCTGATTTGTCAGCAGAAACTACCCCGCAGGGCTATTACTTAGAATCAAAGGCCAGATAAAGAACTTCCTCACGCTATGCAGACTCCACTGACCCTGGAGCCACCGGTGCCCAGCCATGGTGAACCCCACGGTGTTCTTCAACTTTGCTGTCAACGGCGAGCCCTTGGGCTGTGTCTCCTTTGAGCAGTTTGCAGATGAAGTTCCAAAGACGGCAGAAAACTTTTGTGCTCTGAGTACTGGGAAGAAAGGATTTGGTTACAAAGACTCCTGCTTTCACAAAAGTATTCTGGGAATTATGTGGCCTGGAGGTGACATCACACGCCATCATGGCACAGGCAGCAAGTCCGTCTGCGGGGAGAAATTTGATGATGAGAATTGCATCCTGAAGCAAGCACACGGGTCCTGGCCTCTCGTCCATGGCAAATACTGGACCCAACACAGACGGCTCCCAGTTTTTCGCCTGCACTGCCAAGCCTGAGTGGTTGGGTGGCAAGCAGGTGGTCTTTGGACGGGTGAAAGATGCCATGGATATGGTGACAGCTATGGGCACTTTGGGTCCAGGAATGGCAAGACCAGCAAGAAGATCACCGTTGCTGACTGTGGACAACTCTAATGACTCGGAATTGTGTTTTATCTTAACTCCCAGACCATTCCTTCTGTGGCTCAGGAGAGCACCCCTTCACCCAATCTGCTTGGAATATTCTAAAATCTTTGTGTTCTTGCCGCAGTTCATTGGGTTCTATATTTTCCTTACCTCTTCCAAATCTAGCTGGATTGCAGAGTTAAGTTTATGATGATGAAATAAAAACTAAACAGCAGCAGCAACAACAACAATAAGAAAAGAACTTCCCAGACAAGAAAAAGCTGAAGGTCTTGACCACCACCAAACCAATATTACAAGAAATGTTAAAGGATTTTCTATAAAAAGAAGAAAAAAATGAATAAGGGAATATTGCAAAGAAAAAAAATATCTCACTAACAGAGGCAAACACATAATAAAATCAATGAATCAACCAACACTAGAGCAGTACAAAGATTAAAAGGCAAAAGAAGGAAGCCCATGTGTAATCACAACAGTACATTGAGGGATACACACAAACATGCAGAAGAAAAAATAATGATAGAAACATAGAAGTGGATGGGGCGAGTAAATACAGTGATTTTAGAACGTGTTTGAAGTTAAGTGCCCATCAACTTAAAATAGACTTTGCTATAAACATTGTGTATGAAGCACATGGGAACCACACACCAAAAATCTACAAGAGATATGCAAGACATAACGAGAAAGGGATCCAAACACAACACTCCAGGAAGTCGTCAACATACAAGAGATGAAAGCAAGAGAATAAGAAAGAAATAGAGAAGAATGGCAAAAACGATCAGAAAGCAATAAAATGGCAATAACTACATACCATAAAAAAGAATAAAATCTTACTAGTTACAGCAACATGGATGGATCTAGAGGGTACTGTGCTGGTGAAATGAGTCAGACAGAGAAGGACAAGTGCCATATGATTTCGCTGATATGTAGAATCTAAAAAGCAGATTGAACAGCCCTGGCCAGTGTAGCTCAGGTGGTTGGAGCATTGTCCCTGGCACTGGAAGGCTGCAGGTTCAATTCCTGGTCAGGGCACATACCTAGGTTGCCGGTCCGATCCCTGGTTGGAGTGCGTACGGGAGACAACCGATCAATATATTTCTCTGATGTTGATATTTCTCTCTCTCTTTCTCCCTTCTCCCCCCTCTAAAATCAATAAAAAATAAAAATAAAAAAATAGTCCTGACCATTTTGGCTTAGCATCTTGAGCTTAGCCCTTGGACTGAAGGGTTGCAGGTTCAATCCTTGGCCCCAATGTGTCTCTCACATCAATGTTTCTCTCTCTCTCTCTCTCTTTCCCCACCTCTCTCCCTTCTATCTGAAAAAAAATATCCTCGAGTGAGGACTAACAAAAAATAAAAGTAAACAAAACAATGAAAAGCAGAATAAACAAACAAAACAGAAACAAACTCATAGACACAGAGCAAACTAATGATTGCCAGATGGGAGGGGGGTTGGGAGCTGGACAAAAGAGGTACAGGCATGAAGAAGTACAAATTGGCTGCCCAGCCAGTGTGGCTCAGTGGTTGAGCGTCAACCCAAGAGGTCACCGGTTCGATTCCTGGTCAGGGCATATGCCCAGGTTGTGGGCCCGATCCCCAGTGGGGGGCATACAGGAGGCAGCCAATCGATGTTCTCTCTCATCGATGTTTCTAACTCTCCCTCTCCCTCTAAAGAAAATCAATAAAGAAAAAAAAAAGTACAAATTGGCAGTTACAAAATAGTCATGGATGTAAAGTCCCGCATAGGGAATAGTCAATAATATTGTAATTACTATATATGGTGTCAGGTGGGTGTAAGACTTAGGTATAGGGTATAGGGATCACTTTGTAAATTATATAAACGTCTAGCTACTATTCTGCATACCTGAAGCTAATATCAAAGGTCAATTATAATTTAAAAATTAAATAAAAGTAGGGAAAACCCCCCGAGTCTTATCACGATACTGAAGGAATTAGACTCTGAAATCCCAGGACTGGGCGGGCCCAGTGGCTAGACAGTATTGGAGCTAGAATTCAGATCGCTGGTGGGGCCCGGGGGGCCTCCAAGCCCAACCCCCCAGTGGTAAGAACTACTTAGTTTGTGGTTCCAAACAGCTCAAAGAAGACTGTGGCCAGGGTCCCAGGAAAAACCAGGCGTGGGAGGAACTTCGCTGGTAGGGGACGGGGCTCCCAGCTTTTCTCGTGTTGAGAGGTGGCAGTTTTCAGGAGGTGAATAAATGTAGTTTCCTTGTGCACTGGAACTTGTTTCTCATCAGTGACTCAGGAAAGGACCGTCCTAAATCTCCTTGTACTTCACCGAAGTCCCGGTACCTTTCCCTTGGTCTCTGCTCTCTCTTCCACTCCACCTACATTTCACTTTGTACTTTGCACCTGCTGCTTCTTCCGGCACCAGAAGCCTCCCTAACTTGCCATCTTCGGTGGCAGAGAGGCAGGAGTCTTCGAGGGCCTCCCCCGCCCTTGACTTTTTCTGGTGTTTGCGTCGGTGGGGGGAGGGTGGCTCTCACCCTGCCTGATCGCTCTGAGACCCGGTCTATCGGCTTCGTGGGTTCTGGTGGAGGATGGAGCGCGGCAGGTTTCTGGCTGGCCTGATGCTGGCTGCCCTTCTCGCCCACGGTAAGGCTTCTCCGCTGGGTGGGAGCGTCTTGGAGGAGAGGCTTGAGAGGGACAGTACCACCTGCAGCACGGTCCGCTTGAAAGTGCTCCTCAGTGCTGGCTTTAACGCAGCAGCAGGGTTACTAAGGAGGGCGGGGTTGGGATGCAGTGCCGGGTCTGGGAAACAGGCCCTTGGCTTTGACCTACTTCAGTTGAGGGTTCACTTTGGCCTTGAGTGTCTCTCTGAAGGCCCCAGACCAGAGATCTGTAGGAAATGTTGGTGTGTGTGTGTGCCTGAGACTCAGGCTGATAATGGGGACTCTGTTCCTCTAGGGTAGATAGGCTCCGGGATCCAGGACTCTTGGTCATTAGGCCATCACTGTGTCACCTGGAGCCGTGCCCCAACACTCGGGGAGAAAAGCTAACTTTAGATTGAGCAGGAGGGAGGACAGATTTGGGGTAGGAGAATGACCAACTCACCTCTGTTTGCCTGGTTTAAAAACGGATAGGCTTGTGTCCCAGGACCCCCCCTCCCCTTCCCCGGTCCCAGGCAAACTGGGATGAATGGTTCCACAAGGAGTCAGCTGCTTTGGGACATGCAGCGTTGTCATTGGAAACAGATCCCCAAGGAGGACACGAGTGTGGGACATGAAGCCCCTGGTGCCTTGTCTCCCTGAGTATACACGTGTGTGCTCCTGCCCTGCTTTTACACCCAAATTTGTAACTGAGTATATAGCTCAGGGAGAACGTGGATTCCACTTCTCCCTGGGGTTGGAGATGCAGACCCCAGGGCCTCTGTGGACTGTGGAGATGCTCTCGGTCACAGCAACTCACTGGTCTAGAACGGTGCTGTGCATGCCTCCAGCCCGTAACCTCCCCACGAGACTTGTGTGGAGTCCCCAAGATAGGTTTGATAAAATGTCCTATCTGTCCTCCTCCCCTGTAAGCAAGGGTAGAACAACAAAAAATCTTTCTGTGGATTTGCCCTGGGTTCCCTTCTGGCCCACTGGGCTGAAGATGCGTACCAACTTCTCATATCTGTAACCGTCATTGGCCCCAGGAGTTCATTTCCTTGGTAGTTGTTGGGGTGAGGCAAAGGGGGAAGAAGTGGGGGGAGTTGAATGGGACTGTTGTAGGTGGCTGGGAAGTAGAATCAGTTTTCCTAGAGGAAACATGTGGACGTCTGCAAGCCAGGAGCAGGTGCCTTTCCATACCTCTTGGGTGCTCTACCTCTGATCAGTGGTCTGGACTCGTCCCCGGGGAGGATCAACCCCTTTCTATGCTTCCGCTTTTACTCCTTGCTCATGAGGGCCTCTGCTTGGACTGCATCCTTGTGTCTTTCCTGACCCCTGAAGTTCATGGGCAGCCTCCTTTCTCTGGTGACGTCTCTCTCGCTAGAAGCCACAAACTGTCCTGGACTTGGAAGTGGCCCTTCTTCAGTGTGAGCATCAGCAGAGCAAGGGGTCTGGGGCAGACCAAAGAGGTGGCTGCCACTGTGGGGTCGTTTTCCCCGTAGGGAGCCCCGTACAGATCCTTGTAGAAGAACCTGAGGACAAGGTGATTTTGAGTTGCAACGTCAGCGTCACACGGCTGTGGGGAACGGAGGGGGAACCTCTCCTGAACAACAAAAATCTGGACTTGGGCAAACGCGTCCTGGACCCTCGGGGACAGTACACGTGTGGGTTCTTTAACGAGAGCATCACAAACAGCATGCAAATATATTACCGAAGTAGGTGCCTCCCGAGCCTTTGGGTTGGGGTGCATGGGGCCTCTGGGTGTGAGAACTTTCCCCCTGTGGGTGCTGTGGTGGACCCGTCTGTTCTCTCAACAAACCAGGCTCAGTCTTACAGGGGCCTGAGCCAGGTTTCGGGCCTCAGGACTGGAGAGAGCTTAGCTGATGGAGAAGAAGCGGGAGGGGCCTTGCGAGCCAAGCAGCTCGGGCTTTGCTGGGAGAATGGTTTGGCCTTTGCCCTGTCTGACTTCCTGCAAAGCTGAGGCTACTTCTTGGCTCTCCTCGGGGTGTGTTGGATGAAGAATAGAGGTGGACAGAGCGAGGCCACCGGCAGGCCTTCCTCCAAGGACCGGAAGTTCAGGTCTTGACCTGAGAGATCCTGGGGCTGGTCTCGGAGGCAGGGGCGCCTTCCTGGCCTGGAGGTGCTGCCCGCTCCCCTTGTCCCCTCCCCGCAGTGTGCCAGAACTGTGTGCAGCTGGACCCGGCCGCCCTGGCCGGCATCGTCATCATCGACGTCTTCGCCACTCTGCTCCTGGCTTTGGGAGTCTACTGCTTCGCTGGACACGAGACGGGAAGGCCCCCTAGGGGTACGTGGAGGGGACAGAGCACGCGTGTGTGCTGAGCGTGGGTGTGAGTGTGTACGTGGTCAGGAATGGGGCTGGAGTGGTTGGGACTCATCTGGGGATCACTCTTGCAATCCCATGAGGATTTTCACAGCTGGTTATCGAAAGGACTTGGGTGCCCATATTGCGCATGCAGACTTCCGAGGGCGCGGCCAGCTTCGGCCCCCCGCGGTGTGCACGGGGTCTCCTGTCTCGTCCTTCTGTGCCCTTCATGACTCTCTTCCCTGGTTCTTCTAGCTTCTGACACTCAAGCCCTGCTGAAGAATGAGCAGCTGTATCAGGTGAGCCCCGAGGAGAAGGAGATGAGGGTAGGGAGTGAGCGAGGGTGGAAAAGCGGACACTGGGTGCTCCGTGCGTGTATGAAGGGTTCTGGCGGGGAATCCACGGGGTGGGGTCGGAAAGGTCAGGCATAAGCCCTCAGGGGCCTACGGGGTCCTCCTCAGGACAGTCCTGACCCTGCCGCTTCTCTCCCAGCCCCTTAGAGACCGGAATGACGCCCAGTACAGTCATCTTGGTGCGAACTGGGCTCGGAACAAGTGACCTGGGACAGAGCTGGTAGGAGCACCGGCCACCGCCTCCACCTCCTCCCCTGGCTCGGTGGTGGGACGTCTTCCTCCCCTCTGCAGGCCTCCGGGCTTCCCGAGGCTCCTGGGCAGGCAGAGGGCTGCCGCGGTGTTCTTCCTTTCTGGCTCCCTTCCTCTGCCCAGCGGCCAGGGTGACGGGCAGCTTCTCAGCACCCCCGCCCGCTGGTGCTTCTGGCCTGGGGGCTCCCAGGTGCAGGTCTGCCCTCCCCCCGCTTGTCGCCTCCAGTCAGCCCCCGCACAGCACTTCCTGAGCTCGGGCCCCTCACCGCCCTGAGGGCGAGTTCAGACCCCAGCCACACAGAGGTTTCCGGGACATCACGGGCGCAGGTGGCACAGACGTCGGGTTCCGCGGGCCTTCCTTCCCCTCGAGAGCTATGTGTGTGAGAAGGTTTGCCCTCTGCTCAGGGCCGGCCTCGGCGCTGTGACCCCTGTGAAGCCAGGATCCTGAGAGGTGGCAGCCCAGGCCCCTTCCGCACCATGTCTTCCTCCCTCACACCCGCCCCACCCCGACCGCCTGCCTGTGTGCCCCGGAACCCCTCTCCAGGAAAACCCGTCTTTCCTCTCCGCTCGCCTCAACCCTGGAGCTCGAGACCGGGCGGGGCTTGAGGATGCTGTCCGCAGACGCCCTCTGGGTTCGGGAACCCAAGGGGCTTATTCACAACATGGACACCTGGGCCCTCTCCAGGCGTGTAGTGCCCGGGTCATTCTGAAACAGCCCCACTTCAAAGAGTCTCTGGTTTGGGGGGCAACGGAGGTCACTTAGTCTCTTGTAGCCTTTAGGCCCTTTCCTGTCTCCCGGAGGTGGGAACTCCCTCCCGTCTCAGTCATTTCATGAACGCTAGGACAGTCTAATGAGAGTGGGCACCTTCTAGACCAGGGTTCCCCAAAAAGAAAATTAACAATCACATAGCCAGAGATCTGAATGATATGTCTACTATCTTTTTTTTCTTTTTTTATCCTCACCTGAGGACATTTTTGCATATATTTTCAGATAGAGCAGGAGGGAGAGAGAGGAAAGACGGAGACATTGGATGTGAGAGAGACACATCAAGTAGTTGCCACCCACATGACCCCAACCGGGGTCGGAGACACACTGCAACCGAGGTGCGTGCCCTTAGCGGGAACCCAACCCAGGACTCTCTGGTCCACGGGCCGATGCTCTAACCGCTGAGCCAAACCGGCCAGGGCTGTGTCTACTCTCTTTTCAAGATGTGCACAGACCCACATGCTGGTGGAAGGAACGAACTTCCAGTTTACAGCACATGCTACATTCATGGTTAGGATGGACTCGCTGTAGGTTTCTGCCGGTGTGGCCCTGACCCTGATCCCGTGCCACCTCGGCCGCCCTTCCACGGCTGACCTCACACCGATGCCTGTGCCTTGGCTCCTCGTATGCTGTGACCCCCGACATCCCTCTCCAGTTCTCAACACTGGCTGCACGCTGCGATTTCCTGCGGAGCTCTACAAGTACCGGCGTCTGGGCCATTCCACCCCCGAGGTTCTATCGCCGTTGGTCACAGGCATTAGGACCAAAGGGGATTTTCACGGGAAGCCCAGGCTGAGACACACTGCCCTCCACCTGAGCACTTCCAGAACCTCGCGTCCCTTTGGCTCGTTGTGTGTGTACCCCTGGAAAAAGCAGGCGACCGGAGTTAAACTGACCCAAATAAACCGCTCCTACTTAAAGTTTGAAGTGTGGTGAGTTCTGGCATATACACACTTGGGGACCGTCGCCACCCTGGGGATAATGTCACCAGCCTGAGCAGTCTCCTGGGATCCTCTGCAGGGAGCCCCGCCCCCTCCTCTCCTTACCCCGCCCTCCAGGTGGCTGTTGGTCTGCTTCCTGTTATTACAGACTTGTTTTCAGTTTTCTGCAGTTTACTTAAGTGAAATAATGTAGCACGCACTCTTTTTCAGTTGGACTTTTCACCCTGGGAATGATGATTTGAGATTCGCCCAGCTTGCGGTGTCGGTTGCTGGTTCAGTTCTTTCTTTCTTTTTAACATTTTTTTCTTTATTGATTTTAGACAGAGAGGAAGGGAGAGGGAGAGAGATCTAGAAACATCCATGAGAGAAAACACTGACCGGCCCCCCTCCTGCACGCCCCCCACTGGGGATCGGGCCCACAACCTGGGCATGTGCCCTGACTGGGAATTGAACCAGCGACCTCTTGGTGCAGGGTCAACGCTCAACCACTGAGCCACACCGGCCAGGCTGCTGGTTCATTTCTTGTCCAATTGTTCAGTACGTTCCCTTGTGCGGATACACCCGAGGGTTTGTCTGTTCACCTGGTGTTAGGCTTTTGGGTAGTTTCCTGGTCTGAGCCATTACAAATAAAGCTGAGAACACTTATGCACATGTCATTGTGTGGACACAGGGTTATTTCTACCAGATAAATACTCAGAGGGGAATGACTGGGATACAACCTTTAAAGAAAGTGGTTCAGCTGTTCTAGTGTCTTTGTGCTCCCATGTGAATTGGCTTCTCAAATTCTTACCACAAAATGCCTGCTGAGATTTTGATGAGGGTTACATCAAATTTATAGGCCAATTTGGGGAGAATTGACATGTGATGTTGAGTCTTCCGATCCATGAACATGTCTTTCATCAGATTAATCCTTACAGTATTTTATATATTTTTGATGTTATTGTATATGGTATTTTTAAAATGTCAATTTCCAATTTCCAATTGTTTATTGGTATATATGGAAATACCGTTGCTTTCTGTATATTGATCTTATACCCTGAATACTTCTTAAACTCAATTACTAATTCTAGTAGCTTCTTGTTCTTGAAGATCCCACTAGATATTCTATATAGATGATTATGTTGTTTGTGAATAAAGACAGTTCAATTTTTCCATTTCCAATGTGTATGTGCTTTATTTCAGTTTCTTGGCTTATTGCCCTGGCTACAACGTTGAATAAAAGTGGGGAGAAGACCTTCTTGCCCTGTTAGTGATCTTAGAGGGAAAAACACTGTCTTCATCATTAAGTATGATGTTGGCTGTAGGTTTTTCTTAGATGCTCTTTAACAAGGTGAGGACATGCCCTTCGTTTTCTTGTTCGTTGAGCATTTTTAGCAAAAATAGTTGTAGAGTATTGTCAAGTGCTTCTTTTGCATCCATTGAGATGTTTATGTGTTTGCACTCTTCTTTAAGTAAAATCATATGCTTACGTCGTCATTTATTATTACATGGTAAATTACATCAGTGGTGTGGTCTATTAAACCAACCCTGCATTCCTGAAAGAAACTGTACTTGGTCATTGTAATAGTTCTTTTCATGCATTATCAGATTAAATTGGCTAACATGTGAAAAAAGTTTGCATTTATTCATAAGGAATTGGTTTTCAGTTTTCTTTTCTTGTAATGTTTTTGTCTGGTTTTGTATCAGGGTATATTAGTCAGCTTTATCCATAGAAACAGAACTAATAGAGTATCTATCTATCTATCTATCTATCTATCATCTATCTATCTATCTCTCTCTCTCTCTCTCTATCTATCTATCTCTCTATTTCTCTATCTCTCTATCATCTATCTATATTTATTTATTTTAAGGAGTTGGCTCATGCAGTTGTGAAGGCTGGCAAGTCCAAACTCTGTAGGTGGACCAGTAGGCTGGAGACCTAGGGAAGAGCTGATGTAGCAGTTTGAGTCCAAAGGTAGTCCAGAGACAGTTCCTTTGTCCTCGAGGACCTCAGTCTGATTTTTCTTAAGGCCTTCAACTGTTCAGATGAAGCTCACCCACATTTTGGAGAGTCATTCAATTAAAAAAATTTTTTTTCTTTTTTTAAACAAGAATAAAACTTTATTTTATTTTTTTATTAATTAATTAATTAATTTTTGTTATAGATATTTCTCCTTTTCCCCCCACTGATTCCCCCTTCCACTCCCTCCCCACCCTGTCCCCAGCTTTGTTGTCCAAGTCCATTGTTCATGCATACATGCATATAAGTTCTGTGGTTTATCTCTCCCCCATTACCCCCTCTCCTGGGGATTGTCAGCCTGTACCCCACTTCCACATCTCTGGGACTACCCCATTCCTCAAACTGTTATGTTCATTATATTCCACAAATAAGTGAGATCATATGCTACTTGTCTTTCTCTGCTTGGCTTGTTTCGCTTAGGATAATACGTTCCAGGTCCCGCCATGTCTTCTCAAAGGATAAGAGATCTTTCTTTCTTACAGCTGCATAGTGCTCCATTAGTATATGTACCACAGCTTTTTTATCCATTTGTCTAC